CACATACTCAGGAGAATTTGCACTTTCAACTCCACTGCACTATCGCTATGTCCCCTCAGCCTCTACTAACAATAATAACAATAATAATCCTTGCGTTTGATATAGCGCCTTATCATGTCGTTGAGACGTCTCAAACCTTCACAGAATCTATTGTAAAGTGAATTGACTGTATATTTCATGAACGAAATGCGGCAACCAATTGGGCATAGCAGTGTCCCGCAAACAGTCGTGGATTGAGTGACCAAATCTTTTTTATTTGGAGGGATTATTTACCCAAAAAGCAATCCGCCAATCGAGTTCCTACTGCTAGGTGAGCAGAGGCATGTGGAGTAAGGAAAGTTGCCTGAGATTTTAGCCTGCCCGAGAATCGAATCTGGGTCCTCTCGCTTGTGAGGCGAGCGCACTAACCATTACGCTACGGGACACAACTCTGTCTTTCATGTACCTATCTACTTCCCTCTTGAAACCCACACTGGGCTTTGCCTCTACCACTGGTTCTAGCAGAGAATTCCACAGCCCAACAAACTCCCTTCAGTGAAAACAAATCTTCTGCGCCAATGGTTGGGTGGAGTGGTGGACAGTGTTTTATATATCAGATTAACAGATCCCTGAGAGTGAGTTACAGATTGCAATCTAATCATGGGTTCAGATAGTTATGAAAGTTTAGAAACACATCAACAATGGCCCATTGTTTGATCTGATCACAAGATGGGTTTGTATGAAAAAAAACTCCTTCGGCCCATTTGATCTCGTTTCTCCTGAAAACCTGCCCCACCCATCACAGCATTGACCTGTTTCTTAGCTGAGTCGTGTATCCTGGCCTGAACCACTCTTACTGGTAACCTGTTCCAGTCGTTAAATTATCCTCTGGGTAAAGAAATACTTCCTGGTGTCTGTCCTTTGAAATGCTGAACGCAGTAACGTTCACCTTAACAGGTAGACATTCAAATTCTCATCCACAGCACAGCACCACCCGCAGCACTGCAATGGAGTGTCAGCCTAGACCAGTGGTGGCCAACCTTTATGGTCGGCCAATAAAATACATTTGTTGATTGCATATTTCTTGATTTATGCCATAAATCAAGAAATGTTCAATCAAAAAAAAACTGAAAACACACTACCGATCGAACACGGACTTACCTAGACTCGTGCGAATATTTGTCTAGACCAAGCTCAAATTCCCGACGTGCGACCTTGAACCCACAACCTTCTGACTCGAAGGCGAGAGTGTTACTACAACAATAAGGAGAAACAACTGACAGCAACAAGTTGCATTTATATAGTTCTGAGTAATATGCAGCTTGTGGAGGGAAGAGTTGGGAAGGCCGACAAGCGGGGAATTGGCCTAGTCGAGCCTGGATGTGATGGATGTGATGAGCACTAAGCACTCTGGAACGGCGCCCAACATGGAGGGTGCTATATAAATGGAAGTTGATGTTGTGTTGAATGCCTGGATGAGGGTCTTGGTAGCCTGAGGGGAGATGCAATGGCAGAGCTGGGGAAGTATTGTGGAGGAGGGGGATGGCAGAACAGGTCATGGCATGGATGTGAGATTTAACGTGCAGTTGGGAGTTGAACAAGACACCAAGGCTCTGGACTGGCTCAGCGAGGCGGGGAGAGCATCCACGAATAGTGACGCTGTCAGTGCCTGAGATGAGGAGCGATGACGGGAGCCAGTCAGGAGGGTCTCGGTCTCCTCCACGTTCAACTGTAGAAAATTGACTCTCAACCAGGATTTGATGTCTGACAGACCATCCGTCAGGACAACAGTGGCCTTGGAGTTAAGGGTTGAGGCAGATAGATACAGTTTGATGTGATCCGCATACACTTGGTAAATAACCCATGTCTGCCGGTAATGTCCCTGAGCGGGAGCGGTAGATATTAAGCAGGTTTCAAAACTGCTACCAACTGAGGCCAAGGTGACACTTAACACCTTGTACAAGGGTTGTGCGCACTGTACGTTTGGTGCGGGCAGGCTGCAGTGTATATTTTGGATGCCGGGAGGTGTGTGGTTGGATGGTAATTGTGGGCTGCTTATCACCAGTGGCAGCAGCAGCAGCGTGTGGAGTTTGATCCCTTCTCGCTGGCGTGATGTAATGCTGGCTGCAGGAACTGGACTGAATTCAGATGGACTGTTAGTGTGTGATTTGGTGAAAAGGAATTCCATTGTTAATTTGGAGTGGATCCAGTTGCGCTGAGTCCCTGAGCTGATCAGTTCCTCTGGTGCTCGGCTGGGGCTGAATCTTTGGGGGGTGGCTTTGAGTGGGTTAGTGAGCTGATAGATAGACCAGAGTATTATACAAGCAGACTCACCCACAACCACAACAAATTACACTGATAATGACTCAGACTGGAACCCACATCCTCAGCCTCTGCTGACCCACAGGCTTACTATAAGACCGTAGCAATCACTCACTGTGTGTTAGCAGTCTGGAGCGCACAACTGCTCCAATATATAATACACAATATCCATTATGACGGGGAAGTGTGAATGGGAGAGAAGATGGCCCGGGGAAGGCGGTGGGGGAATCTAACACTGTCCTCAATGTGATGTGTGTATGTGTCACTGATCTGCAGAGTAATAATAATAATCATAATCCTTGCAATTGATATAACGCCTTATCATGTTGCTGAGACATCTCATAGGGTTTCACAAGCTATACTGTAAAGTGGATTGACTGCGTTTTGTGGGGGAAACTCAGCAGCCAGCTTGCACGCAGTAATGTCTCCACGCATCTCTGTTTACTTCCTAGCGCTACGTTGGAACCCAGTTGTTCAGTCGATTTGTGGATCGTTTTTCCAGCAGTAGTAATCCCTCAAAAAAGATTGGTCACTCAATCCACAACGGGTTGTGAGACATTGCTGTGTGCAATCGGCTGCCAAGTTTCTCCCACAAAATACTGTCAATCCACTTCACAATATATTCTCTGAAGTGCTTTGAGATGATTTTTTGTTGTTGTGTCAACGGCGTGATAAAGGCACTATATCAAATGCAAGGTTAATTATTGTAATTATTAAAACACAGAGTCACTGTACAAATAACATATCTTGTGAAATGCGTTGGGAAGTCCTCCCAATGTGAAAGGCTCTGTACCAAATATAACAATTTTTTTTTTAGGGTTCTGATGTATTTGAGTGAGCTTCTCAGGCTTTACGCTTTTATTGTTGGTCTCCCTGAAGCCTTCTGGGCCTCCTCGCTTGCCTATTTGCGTTGAGTTCTCCTGGGGTACAAGGCGATTGCGCTGCTCGCAGTGGAAAGTAGGTTAGACTTTCCGAGAATTAATGAGAGAGAGAGACATTCTTTTGTTTGACTATTTGTGGTGACGGCGCAGGCCATTAAAAAGCACTCTCCGAGGAAGCAAAGTTAAACAGAATGTTTTATTGGACGTGTTGGTGGGAACTGGCAGCCTGGTATCTGTTGGGGCAACTGGAAGGAAGAGACCGGGGTTAGGGGTGATGTGTAGTGTAGATGTAGGCTCCACACTCAGGTCTCCACATTGCCCTGAAGTTTGCAGCTTTGCCTTTTGTTCTGTTCCTGACCTGCTCCTGAGAGATCAGTAAAATCACATTCCTCCACGCTTCCCTCATTGCAGCTTGAATTGTTTAAAAATCCGTAGTGTTCTGCAGCTGGATACACATCTGTCTTACAGTCAGACAGAGATCATCCTTCTTCTTGCATCCTGAGAGCAATCCCTCAGCTGTCTGTCTGTCTGTCTGTTGGTCTGTCAGTTCCAGTGAGCCATTGGCACCTGAAACAAGTATAGTGGTCCTGTCGCGTTGTGGTTAGAGCGCTCGCTTCGCAAGAGAGAGGACCCCGGTTCGATTCCCAAGCGGGGTGACACCTTAGACAAATTTCCTTACTCCACACGCCAGTGTTTACCTCGCAATAAGTAGGAACATAGTCAAATCACTTTACAAAATATTCTGTGAAGCATTTTGAGACATCTTGAGACAATTATTACCCCCGGAAAGCGATCCGCCAATCGACTCTTGCTCGGTAAACTCCACAAAGGCGTGTAGAGTAAGGAAACTTGCCTAAGGTTTTGCCCTGCCCAGGAATCGAACCCAGGTCCTCTTGCTTGCGAGGAGTGCTCTAACCAAAACACTGCAGCATTCCACCAATGCAATTTCATGTCACGCCTGGTCTTTCCCAACCAAATGGTGTTCAGTGCCCTGAAGGTACAGATGCCAAATTTCACGTTGAAAAGAGACCATTTTAGCGGTTTAGTTTGTCTTGTCAGGAACTGTTTCTTGTTATGTACTCTGTGTTCGTTCATTCCCTGTAATGAATGAACAAAAAATTGCAAATTGGCTGACTTACTTCCCCTCCCCAACCATGCCGATCAGACAACATGAACCGACACTTGTTTTATACTGCATCTGTTGTTGCATTTTATGAGCGTTCTTTTGTTGTATTTAGGGAATTTAATTTGTTTCAGTAATTTCACAACCAAGGACAGATATAGCACCATAGAAGGCTATTTGCCTGTCTTGTGCTCAGCTTCATTACCCAGGTCGCAGTTGAATTCTGTGCTATATTGGAACTTGCATCTATATAGCGTCCTGCACATAGAATGACGTCTCGGTGTGCTTTGCAGTACCAGGAACGGATGCCAAGCAAGGAGGAGGGGAGAAGCCGATCACCCCCATCCTCGCTTGGCTCCACTGGCTCCCCATCCTCCGGCAGATCGAGTTCAAGATCCCACCACAGCCTCACCCCACCCTCTTCTGCGATCTCCTCAAACCTGACCTCCCTCCGCTCAACGGATAGAGACCTGCTTCACGTCCCTTTGGATGAGACGTTAATCCGAAGTCCCGTCTGCCTGTTCAAGGTGGACGTTAGAGATCCCAGGGCGTTATTTCGGCCACAAAATATGAAGTCTATTCACTTTGCAGCATATTCTGTGAAGCGCTTTGAGACGTCTCAAAGACGTGATAAGGCGCGATATCAAGTGCAGGGATTATTATTATTAACATCTGCCTTTATATTCCTTCTTCAGGTGTGTGGTTGTGCTCTTTAACCCCAAGAAGAACAAGCAGCACCACATAATGAATGGATCAAGGTAGGCCTCTGGCATCTTTGAATATTTAAACTCTGCAGCTCATGTCCCCTCCCGCACCAAGCTTTCGTGACCCTATCACCCCCATCCTCGCCCGGCTCCATTGGCTCCCCATCCCCCAGAGGATAGAGTTCAAAATCCTTGTCTTCACTTTCAAAGCGCTTCACGACATTGCTCCTTCCTACCTCTGTGACCTGCTAACTCTATACTGGCCTATTCGCTCCCTCTGCTCGGCAGGCACTGGCTTACTCCTCGTCCCCCCCCGCCGCACCAGCGGTTGGGCCTTCAGCCTCTCTGCCCCCACCCTTTGGAACTCCATCCCACAGTCACTTCGCCTCGCTCCTTCCCTTGCCTCCTTCAAGGCCCATTTCAAGATGCTCTTTTTCAACCGCATCTTCGATCACCATCCTACCCCCACCCTCGCTTGCCCTCCACCCCTCCTGAATCCAGAGATTCCCCTGCGCTTGCAAATTGAATGGGTAGGATGAAGTCACCCTGGCGACATGCCTGTCTGTTCAGGTGGACGTCAAGGATCTCGGGTGGACTGACCTGGGGACTCGCACCTGGTTTCTGGTCAGTTGGACGAGATGTTTTGGAACCCATGGAGTTCCACTCCAGCGGAGGTCAAAAACAATCAAGGCGTTCAGCGGTGAGGTGCTGAGGGTGAAACATTTGTCCACAACCAGCCCCAAACGGGAAAAGTAAAACCTGATTAATATTTTTTTTTAGGAAAACAATCACAGCGTTGGCTTTCTCTCCAGACGGCAAATATTTGGTTACAGGGGAGGTGAGTCCTCCTTTCTCTTTGTGTCGTTTTTCTCTTTCTCTCTCTCGCTCTGTCGTCTCTCTTTCTCTATCTCATACATACCCACTCTGACTTTTCTCTCCGATTCCTCCTCTCTTCTCTCTCTCTGATTCCCACCCCCCCACCCTCCTGCCCTCTCTGACTTCTCTCTCTCTCTCACTCTCTCATTCCCCTCTCCTTGACTCGTTTCTCTCTGTCTGACTGCTCTCTCTCTGTCCCTGTGCTGTGTGTGTTTGTGTGTGTGTGATTAACGGAGATGATGGCTATTTTGCTGACGATGGTGTGATACCAAGCGCTGACTCCACATTCCAGACTTGCACTTTGTGTTGGCAGCGTTCCATGTGCTTATCAGGGAGTTCCTGTAGTAAACAGGAAGTTCCTCTTTGCAACTAACCCATTTCTTGTTCTTTAAATCAGTGAACGTTTGGGGATTGAGACATGAATAGCAACAGTGCTCCCAAATGGTCTGTCTGTTCAGGTGGCCATCAGAGATCCCGTGACACTATTGGAGAAGGGCGTTTCTTCTCCTGGTGTTCCTGGCCAACAAGGGCTGTTTGACATAAACTATGCCTCAGGGCTGTTTGTGGGACCTCGCTGTGTGCTAAATGACTGCCACGTTCACCTATAAGTACACAATCATTACACTTGACAGTAATTATAAGTGCGTGAAGACATTTCAAAGCGATAAATACACAAAAAATGTTCTTTGTCTACATGTCTTCTCTGGCTGTGTCCTGCCATGTGGAAGGGTGTATGTTTGCTCTACCTTTTAGAGGCTGTTTTCACCCTGGGTTTCAACAGGATGTCCTCAGCAAGGCGAATGGTCCTCGGGCAGGTAGTATAACCTAGGAACATAGGAACAGGAGTAGGCCATTCAGCCCCTCGAGCCTTTTCCGCCATTCTATCAGATCATGGCTGATCTGTACCTCAGCTCCAATTACCTGCCTTTGCCTCACATCCCTTGATGCCCTTACCTAACAAAAAAATCTATCGACAAAAGGCAAAGTACTGGAGATGCTGGAAATCTGGTATAAACCAAAAATCTTATCGACCACAGTTTACGTGCTGAGTAAGTGATGATTCTGTTGTCATAGCAGGGTGGCCTAAGGACCATAATAACGCAGATTGAAGTGTGTTGAGGTGGTCAGTATGGATCTGGTGGGCCTGCTGCCAGCACAGCACTGAGAGTCGAGGAACTCAATTAATCCCAGCTCCTCAGGAGCAACCTTTGTTTGTGGACTTTAGCTGCAGTTCAGACATAATTGTGAGCGCGAGTGTGTGTGTGTGTGTGAACTCGCACAAGTCTTACAGAAGGACTTTGTTTCCCACGATTCATTGCCATTCCAACACTTGCTGGTAAGTGCTGCACAGGCGGCGACGGTTCAAGACGCATTGAATCGCGGGAAATGTATTTGTGACCCGTCACCACGTGCGCACTTACCGGCTGCAATGAATTATATACATTGCAGATGATTGATTAAATCGGCTTTTATACGACTTATAGGGATTTGCCTGCAGCTCGGACTTCACGTAAGTCACAATGAATGTGATGGCCCCGACTGATAAGATTTACGAGTGTTTTACTGTATTAGGCGCAAGTTGGCAAGAGCTAAGCTTGGGGCCCCAGTGCGTGTGTGTGTGTGTATGTTGGGGGGGGCTATTAATGGGACTTGAGTGACTATTTTCAGCAGGCAGTAAATTGCCTCATTATCTGAAGTTTACACAAATCGGGAACATTTCTTGGCAAGGACTCTCCCTCGCTGGTTAGTTGGTAAGGTATAAAACCTCACTGAGCTAAAGGCCTCCCAATCCTCAGGCAGTACAGAGCAGACACTGCGCTCTTCCCCCCACCCACACACACTGCTCTCTGGGGGGAGCAAAGAGCTGTGTGTGGGGGGAGTGGGGGGGTACAGAGAGCAGTGTGTGTGGGGAGTGGGGGTGCAGAGAGCAGTGTTTGGGGAGGTGGGAGCAGAAAGCAGTGTGTGTGGGGAGGGGGGGAGCAGAGACCACTGTCAGGGTGGGGAGGGGGGACTGGTGTTTACAGTACAGACACCGCTCTATAAATAGCAGAGACTGGTTTATATCGTCGCTCATGTTCAGCACTTACATGCTGTCTGTCTCAGCGCAGAGAGACTGGTCAGGACTCTCTGGGTCTTTGCCAGGCTCCCCCAGCTCTCATAACAATCCTCACATGTCCCTGCATTTGATGTAGCACCTTATCACGTCGGAAGGACGTCTCAAAGTGCCTCACAGGATTTACTGTGAGATGGAGTGACTGTATATTTTGTGGGCAAAGGCAGCAGCACAGTTGCGTGACAACACTGTCTCACAAACAGCTATCAATTTGCTCGGTTAGTTGGTGCGTTCAGGAGGGTATCTGCAGCGTGTGACAGCCAGGAGTGTGTCTGGGGATTTGGGAGCCGGTGTTTACATCCTGAAACCAGGAACGTGTAACTAATGAACTGTGGGTTTGACAGAGCAATCCACTAAAATCTCCCTTACACAGCCAGCCTGTCGTTGGGATAAATGCACCAACTCAGCACTCAGGCAGACAGGCTCAGCGTAGATACAGTTGTATGGTAAAGATCCCACGGCACTACTTGACAAGAGAGTTTCTTTCTCTCGGTGTCCTGGCCGACAATTCCTGCAGAAACCCGGAGTGTATTGGTTAGCGCGCTCGCCTCGCAAAAGAGAGAGGCCCCAGGTTCGGTTCCCGTTCAGGGCAAGCGGGACATGTTTCCTTACATTTTTTTACTCCACACTCCTCTGTTTGCCCGGCAGGAAATAGCAGTACGGTCGTCAGTCAATTAGAAGATCGCTTTCCGGGGATAATAATCCCCCCAAAATATATATTTTTAACTGGAACAAGTGTAACACAGGGTGGCCACTCAATCCACGACTGTTTGTGGGACACTGCTGTATGCAATTGGCTGCCGTTTTCACCCACGCAACACAGTCACACCACTCTACAGCAAAGGGCTTTAACATGCCAGCGCCACACTAAGGAATGTTATTATATCCTGTACGGCTGCTGTTACCCATGTTTCCAAGCTCTTGTTCTGTGTCTATATTTCTTTTTCTTTCTCGCTCTCACTCTCTGTGTGTTTTGCTCTCTCTCTTTCCCTCGCTCTGTTACTGAGTATCTCTATATCCATCCGTTTCTCTATCTTCTCTGCGATCTCCATACCTGTTTCCCTCAATTTCTGGCTTTACAGAAGGGTCAGTCTGACCCTACTTTACTGTTCGATTTCCCCTCCTTTCCAGATCCTCCCTCCCTCCCTCCCTCCCTCCCTCCCTCTCTCTCTTTCCCAGTTCTTTCCTCTCTCTTTCTCTTTCTCTCTCTCCCTCCTGCTCTATCTCTGTCTTTCCCTCCTTCCTGCTTTATGCCCTCGCTAACCATCAGAAATAATCTGTTACTATTTAAATAATTTAGTTCCACTTAATAATCCATTACTGTCTATGTTCCCATATGGGCGATTTGTAACATGTCTGCGTCTGTCTGTCTGTTTGTCTGTGCGAGTGTGTGTTGTACTGTAAACACCGGGGTGCTGTGTGTGTATGTGTGTGTGCGTTGTACTGTAAGCACTAGGGTGCTATGTGCGTGTGTGTTGTACTGTAAGCACCGGGGTGCTGGGTGGGGCTGGCTGTGTTGACTGAGGTCCTTGCGTCTCCAAGATGTTCTGTGTTTTGTGACCTTGGTGAGGGTGAGGGTGTGGGGCAGCTTATACGCACCAGAGGGCACAGCGAGGGAGATGGGCATCAAGTCACAGCCATTGCCAGTTACTCCTTCAAATGGGTCCACAGCATGTGCGCAATGTGTCTGCCCTTGCGAGTGTGTGTGTGTGTGTCTCACCTGTGCGTGTTTGTGTGAGATCAGTGTGATGTGTGTGTGTGAGAGAGACGCGTGTGTTTGTATCAGTGTTTCTCTGTGGTCTCTGGGACAGGGAATGAGTGTGGGATTGATGGCATGTGTGTGCTCTCTCTCTCTCTCTCTCCCCCCCCCCTCCCCGAGCACAGAGTGGCCACATGCCTGCGGTCAGGGTGTGGGAGGTGACGGAGCGGGCACAGGTGGCGGAGTTGCAAGAGCACAAGTACGGGGTGGCGTGTGTGGCCTTCTCCCCCAACGCCAAGTACATCGTCTCCGTGGGCTACCAGCACGACATGATCGTCAACGTGTGGGCCTGGAAGGTAGGGAGCGGGGGAGAGTGGGGGCGGTGGGGGAGCGAGGAGAGTGGGGGGTGTGGGGGGGTTTACAGAGAGTGCAGGGGCTTGGGGGTTGGGATCAGTGAGCGGGGGGAGAGTGGGGGATCTACAGTGTACACAGTGCATAATAATCCTTGCATTTGATATAGTGCCTTGTCACGTCTTCGAGACGTCTCAAAAACCGCCGCAGAATATACCCTAAAGTGAACTGATTGTATATTTTGTGGGAGATGTATTTTGATGTATGTCAACAGTCGATTGACGGATCGCTTTCCGGGGCTTATAATCCCCCAACCAGCCCCCCCCCCGGCCTCCCCCCCAAAAAAAAACTTTATTCACTCAATCCAGACTGCTGTGTGATGTCCTGTCCTGTTTCATCCACAAAATACACAGTCATTGTACTTTGCAATCCAGAGGAATCTGTTGGTTAGATCGAGACAGGGAATTTTGTCTGATTTACCTCAAGTGGATTCAAGTGTATATTCTGTGAAGTGCTTTGAGACATCTCAACGACATGATATCGAATGCAACGTTATTGTTATCAAATAATATAATTATTATTATTATAGTGTACAGTTTTTTAAGAGCTTCTGAAATGTTACCCTGAGTGAGAAGTTGCTATATAAATGCAAGTTGTTGTTGTAAGAGCCTTTAGTGAGTGTCTCGGGGAGTGGTATCCGGGTGTAGTGACTGTCTCAGTGTGATGTGCTCCTGTTGATGAACCCGCAGAAGAATGTGGTCGTCGCGGCCAACAAGGTGTCCAGTAAAGTGGCGGCCGTCTCCTTCTCCGAGGACAGCAGCTATTTTGTTACTGTCGGCAACCGACACGTCAAGTTCTGGTACCTTGACGCCTCCAAAGCCTCGAAGGTGAGAGGGACCCATTCCACGGCCCCCCTCCACCCCGCACACTGACCCTCACACACACACTCTAACCCTCCCGCACACACACCAACCTCCCCCTCCCACATCCTCACCCCCTCCCACCCCCCACCCCGCACACTGACAGTCACGCTAACCAACCCTCACACGCAAACACACTAACCAACCCTCACACACATACGCTAATCAACCCTCACATGCTAACCAACCCTCACACGCAAACATGCTAACCAACCCTCACACGCAAACATGCTAACCAACCCTCACACGCAAACACGCTAACCAACCCTCACACGCAAACACGCTAACCAACCCTCACACACACACGCTGACCAAACCCTCACATTCACACATGCTACCCAACCCTCTCACACACACGCTAACCAACCCTCACACGCACCACACTGACCCGCTGCACACATTGACTGAATTCTGCCACGTCCCCCCCCACACACACACACACAGACACACACACATACCAACCTCCCCTGACACACACCGACCGGCACACTGCCCCCCCCCACCCCCCCCACCCCGCGCGCTGACTGGCCAGTGTTGTTGTGACAGGTGAACGCCACAGTACCTCTGCTGGGCCGCTCGGGGCTACTGGGGGATCTACGCAACAACTTCTTCAGTGACGTGGCGTGCGGGAGGGGCAGGAAGGCAGACAGCACCTTCTGTATCACCACCTCCGGACTCCTGTGTGAGTTCAACCAGCGGAGACTGCTCGACAAGTGGGTGGAACTCAGGGTAAGCCCGTCAGCATTGAGCCAGCTCTGCACACACCAACGCACGCCAACACACACCCAACACACGCCCACACACGCCAACAACAACTCCAGGTCCGCCGATGTTCCATCAGTTTGTCTGGCGGACATCGGGGCCCGGATGAGTGCAAACTCCCTGCAGCTGAATGTGGACAAGATGGAAATATACTCCTTGGCTCCCGTCAACGTCTTCACTCCTGCGGATCTAAACTCCTCAGCCTCCCCGGGCTCTCACTCAGACTTGGCGAACCAGTGCGCAGTCTAGGCGTCCGGTTCGACCCCCAGCTGTCCCGCAGCTTATGGCCACCTAACCCTCCCGCTCCGGCTTGGAATCAGGCTCCGCTACTGTTAAGCGCTCTGAGATGCTACCCGGCGTGGAGGGCGCTATATTAGCGCAAGTTGTTGTTGTGAGGTATTATACGCTGCTTTCTGCTGTGTCTCTAATGGTGCAATGCTTAACGCTCTCCTCTCCCTCCTGCTCTTCACCATTGACTGAAAAGAACACAGACAGTATAACAGTAAGTTGCACGCTCAACTATCAGAACATTCATTACCTCACCACCTACCAGCTCCCAGCCATAACACCGGATGTCTCAGTGTCTGACCCACACTATAAGTCTCACCATCTCAGCGTCTGACACTCACTGTACGCCTGTCACTATCTCGGTGCCTGACGCACACTCTTAAGTCTCTTACCATCTCACTGTCTGATTCACTCCGTAAATCTCTCGCCATCTCAGTGCCTGACACTCGCTCTACATTTGTCGTTAGAGTAATAATCCTTGTATTTGATACGGCGCCTTATCGCGTCTTCGAGACGTCTCAAAGCGCTCGGCAGAATATACCGTGCAGTGAATTCACAGTTTCGTGGGCGAAACGCAGCAGCCAATATGCGCACAGCGGTGTCCAAACACAAACACTCGCGGATTGTGTGACCAAATTATTATTATTAATTATCTCACTGTTAAGTCTCTCACCATCTCTCGGTCTGACACTCACTGTCGGTCTGTCACTATCTCACTGCCTGACACTCACCGTACGCCTCTCATCAGATCAGGGTCTATCTCACAGCTGCTGCGCATGAGCTGCTTTTTTTACCCGCTGACTTTCTTGGGATTTGATTTGCCTCCTTCGCTGAACTCCGTCATTCCTGGGAATCGCAAGGCGCCAGGGTCCGACGGTCAGTGTAGTGACTGTGTAGCGCAATCCTCCGTTCAAAGATCACAGCGAGAGTGGCCACATGGTGTCCGGAGGAATATCTTGCTTGAGCACCAAGCGCTGTTAAAAGACGGAGTAAAGCTCCCTCGATGCTGTCCGTCTGGCGCTCAAAAGCACCAGAGCTGGATGCCCTGCGAGGTTCCTGGGTTGGAGTTGCTGGGCAGGCTAGGATGTACCTGTGGTTGTTGGTGTGTGGAGCTAACGCTGGCTCTTTGCTCTTCCTCAGACCACCATGGCGAGCTGCCTGTCAGTCGGCGAGGACTATATTTTCTGTGGCTGTGCGGACGGCACCGTGCGGCTCTTCAATCCCAACAACCTGCATTTCATCGCCACCATGCCCCGCCCCCACCCCCTGGGCACGGACATCGCAGCCGTCACTGAGCCCAGGTCAGCGCGCGCGGGGTTAACCACACATGTGGGCTACAGCCTCTCTCTCTCTCTGTGTCTCTCATCTTTATTTCTCTCTCTCTCTCTCTCTCTCTCTCTGTCTGTCTCTCTCACCGTCTTTCTCCCTCTCTCACCCTCTTTCTCCCTCTCTCACCGTCTTTCTCCCTCTCTCACCGTCTTTCTCCCTCTCTCACCCTCTTTCTCCCTCTCTCACCCTCTTTTTCTATCTATCACTCCTTCCTTCTCCCTCTATCTCTTGCTCTCTCTCTCTACTCTCCAGGATGCCGTCCCATCATTTTCCCAGCGCAGAGATCATACTCAGCCTCTGAACCCGGCTGATTGAATGACCAAGATCTGTGGAGACCGTGGAGCCCTGTAGCGCAGTGGTTAGCGCGCTCGCCTCACAAGCGAGAGGACCCGGGTTCGATTCCCGGGTGGGGCGAAACCTTAGGCAAGGTTCCTTACTGCACACACGCCTCTGTTTACCTATCAGTAAGTAGGAACCCAGTTGTTAGTCGATTGGCGGATCGCTTTCCAGGGGTAATAATCCCTTCAAATACTAATAATTTTTAAAAATTGGTCACTCGCTCCATGACTGTGTGTGGGACGCTGCTGTGTGCAATTGGCTGCCGAGTTTCTCCCACAAAATTCACAGTCAATCCACTTTACAGTATATCCTATGAAGCTCTTTGAGACGTCTCAACCAAGCGATAAGGTGATATATCCCATGCAAGTACTATTATTGTTACATTATAGTTATTCTCCTCGCCCCCAGCCACCTGTTCTCCAACAAACCAGATGCCAAATACCCCGACACCATCGCCGTGACCTACGACCTGACTAACCGCTGGCTGTCGTGTGTGTACAACGACCACAGTCTTTACGTGTGGGACGTGAAGGATGTGAGGAAAGTGGGAAAGGTCTACTCCGCTCTGTACCATGGCTCGTGTGTCTGGAACGTTGAGGTGAGGTAACAACGACGACAACAACTCGCAGTTATATAGGGCCCTTCGCTCGGGGCAGCGTTTCGGAGTTTAGCCTCCGCACAGGGAGAGAGCTGGGACTCTCTATAGGAATCTCTGAGGCAATCAACGCTCTGTGCAAACTGGTTGCCGCGTTCACCTACAAACCAAAGTCAGTACACTTTACGGCATATTCTGCGAAGGGGCTTTGGGACGTCTCATCAATGTGATAAAGCGCTGCAGCTAATGCAGGAATTCTTCTTATATTATTGTTATTATTATAGCACCAATCTTTGCATTTGATACAGCGCCTTGTCACGTCTTCGAGACGTCTCAAAGCCCCTTCGCAGGATATACTGTAAAGTGGATTGACTGTGTATTTCGTGGGCGAAACGCTGCAGCATTATCTTCGCACAGCAGCGTCCCACAGACAGCCAGCAGGAGAGGCGAGTTAGGTGCGTGTGTAAATCCGTAAATCAGTGCGTTCGGGATATTAACATCATGACGAATTAAGTGGCCGCGACAAGTTACGTCAGGGTTGAGTTATCAGGAGTTTATTGCCTTGTTACATGTTGTTGTAAGCCCCGGGTGTGCAGGCGAGACCAGGCTCTGGCACTGACTCCCTGAATCCTGTGCGTTGCCGGCAGGTGTACCCCGAGGTGGAGGACAGTAACCGGGCCTGCCTGCCTCCCGGCTCCTTCATCACCTGCTCCTCGGACAACACCATCCGGCTCTGGAACACCGACAGCTCCAGTATTCACGGCACATCTCTGCACCGCAACATCATCAGCAACGTAAGCCATCCCTGTTACAACCCACCTACCCCACACTCACACACACAGTCACACATAGTCACACACACACAGTCACACACACACGCAGTCACACACATAATCCTTGCATTTGATACAGCACCTTATGGTGTCATTGAGATGCCTCAAAGCGCTTTACAGAATATACTGCATAAAGTGTAGTGACTGTGTATTTTGTGGGTAAAACTTGGCAGACAATCGCACACAGCAAGTGTCCCACAAACAGCCGTGGATTCATTGACCGCATTTTTCTTGAAGGGTTTATTACCCTCAGAAAGCATTCCACCCATCGACCAACAACCGGGTTCCTACTTACTGCTCGGTAAACAGAGGCGTGTGGAGTAAGGAAACTTCGCTAAGGTTTCGCCCTGCCCGGGAATCGAACCCGGGTCCTCTCCCTTACGAGGCTAGTGCTCTAACCAATACAGTACAGGACCCTGGCCCCCTCCCATCTTTCTCGCCCTCGCCCCAGGCCTCCGCGCGGTGCCCTGGCTGGTGAGGGCAGACAATGATGAGCTTGCTGCTCTGTGTCAACCCCAGGATTTGCTGAAGATCATCTACGTGGACAGTAACACACAGCCGCTGCTGGACACCGAGAGCAACTGTGCCGAGAAGAGCGACTCTCAAACGCCGGAGACCAAGACCGGTATCCGCACACTCTGTGTCAGCCCCGACGGGCAGCACATGGCATCTGGGGACCGGGCTGGCACTCTCAGGTAAAGCCATGGCACCAGGCATAAGGTGTGCTGTCACGCCAAGCAACGGGGCTCTTCCTGTGCTGGCACACCACAGTCATATGTGACTGTGTTGTGTGACGGTTGCTGTTGCTTCTTTCAAGAACAAATTGAATAGATTTCTGTTCGTAAATAATATCTCAGGATACAGTGTACAGTTTGATACAATGACAAGTGCATGTGATTGCCAGGATGGTGGAAGGCAAATTGAATTGATCTTGGTCTTCTTTCGTCTAGAAAACACTTACGTTCAGTGTTAGGTTACGGTCACTTTGTGGGTGTTGGTCACGGTGTGGATGCTGGTCGCTGTGTGGGTGTTGGTCATGGTGTGGGTGGTTGTCGCTTTGTGGGTGGTGGTCGCTGTGTGGGTGCTGGTCACGGTATGGGGGATGGTCGCGGTGTGGGTGATGGTCGCGGTGTGGGTGTTGGTCGCTGTGTGGGTGACAGTCGCTGTGTGGGTGACATTTGCTGTGTGGATTTTGATCGCTGTGTGGAGTTTGATCGCTGTGTGTGTGTGTTGGTCGCTGTGTGGGTGTTGGTCGTTGTATGGGCGGTGGTCGCTGTGTGGGTGACAGTTGCTGTGTGGGTGTTGGTTGTGGTGTGGGTGATGGTCGCTGTGTGGGTGACGGTCTCTGTGTGGGTGACGGTCGCTCTGTGGGTGACGGTCGCTGTGTGGGTGACGGTCACTGTGTGGGTGACGGTCGCTGTGTGGGTGACGGTCACTGTGTGTTTTGCAGGGTCCATGATCTGCATCTGTTGGGAGAGCTGCTTCAGGTGGAAGCCCATGACTCAGAGATCCTGTGTCTGGAGTACTCCAAACCCGAGACCGGTGAGTGCCCACTGCCTCGCTCTGCAACCTCTCCATCAGCGTCGGTCATCATGTCTCTGTGCTGGTCGCTGTGCCCCTGTGCCAGTCGCTGTGTCTCTGTGCCGGTCACTGTGCCCCTGTGCTGGTCGCTGTGCCCGTGCCGGTCGCTGTGCCCCTGTGCCGGTCGCTGTGCCCCTGTGCCTGTCGCTGTGCCCCTGTGCCGGCCGCTGTGCTCCTGTGCCAATCGCTGTGTCTCTGTGCCGGTCTCTGTGTCTCTGTGCCTGTCTCTGTGCCGGTCTCTATGCCCCTTTGCCGGCCGCTGTGCCCCTGTGCCGGCCGCTGTGCCCCTGTGCCTGCCTCTGTGCCCCTGTGCCGGTCGCTGTGCCCCTGTGCCGGCCTCTGTGCCCCTGTGCCCCTGTGCTGGTCGCTGTGGCTCTGTGCCCCTGTGCTGGTCGCTGTGGCTCTGTGCAGGTCACGGTTGCTGTCATGGTCACGGTGACTGTCCGCTATATGACCCCATGTCTCCACAGGGATGAAGCTGTTGGCCTCGGCCAGTCGGGACCGGCTGATCCACGTGCTGGACGTGGAGAAGGATTACCGGTTGCTGCAGACCCTGGACGAGCACTCCTCCTCCATCACAGCCGTCAAGTTCACAGGTAGGAACGGGCGGAGGGGGCACTGGGGTACGCGGGGCTGGGGGTGTGTATGGGTACAGGGAGCGAGTGTGCACCAGTGTACAAGTGAGTGTGTATGCACAAGGAAGCGTGCGTGCACAGGTGAGTGTGTGTGCCCAGGTGAGCGTGTGCACAATTGAGCTTGTGCACAAGTGAGCGTGTGTGGACAAGTTAGCATGTGTGCACAAGGGAGCACGTTGTGTGCAAGGTGAGAGTGTGCAGAAGTGTGTGTGTACAAGTGAGCGTGTATGCACAGGTGAGTGTGTGTGCACAGATGTGTGTGCAGAAGTGAGTGTGTGTGCACGGGTGCGTGTGCAGAGGTGAGTGTGTGTGCACGGGTGCGTGTGCAGAGGTGAGTGTGTGTGCACGGGTGCGTGTGCAGAGGTGAGTGTGTGTGCACGGGTGCGTGTGCAGAAGTGAGTGTGTGTGCACGGGTGCGTGTGCAGAGGTGAGTGTGTGTGCACGGGTGCATGTGCAGAGGTGAGTGTGTGTACACGGGTGCGTGTGCAGAGGTGAGTGTTTGTGCACGGGTGCGTGTGCAGAGGTGAGTGTGTGTGCACACAGGTACACACACCCTTTCCCACCCACACTGAATTGCCATCAGAAAATCTGTGTCCTGATTGCTGCTGGGAAAGGTGAGTGTGCGCGTGTGTGTGTGCGTGTGTGTGTGTGCAGGTCACAGTGAGAGCCCGATAGCTGTAAACATTACCAGAGGCTGATCCCCGTTACCGAGACATCTCATTCCACCACCTTTCCCCCCCAGCGATCGACGGCAGCGTGCGGTTGATCACATGCGGAGCCGACAAAAGCATCTACTTCCGGACGGCACACCAGGTGAGGAGGGGAGTGAGCCCGAGGCCACCGCTCAGTAATGCTGTGCTCACACCGCATTAGCACCTCACAGGCTGAGCCGGGGTTTCCGTTGGTTTATGACACCCAACTGTAGCCAGCTGCTTCCACCGTTGACTCCTGGACCACTGGTGTCCTGACCGATTCCCTGTCAGACATCCAGTCCTGGAGAAAAGCTCACTTGGTTCAATTGAACCTCGAGAAGTCTGAGGTCCCCCTACTTGGCTCCCGTCAGTGCCTCCGCACCTCAGGTGCTGACAGCATCGCTGTTCATGGATGCATTCCGCCCACAAAATGTACAGTCAATTATTTTACACTGTATCCCCTGAAAAGGCTTTGAGACGTTTCAACGACGTGGTAAGCCGCTATATCAAATACAAGGATTATTATTGTTATGCACTCTCCAGTCGAGGGTGGAGGCAGAGAGATACAGTTGGGTGTCGTAAAGACCTTCCTCTTCGACCATACCTTGTTCATCTTTCCCCTTTCCACCAGCCTCAGCTCCCACCCACCAGCTCGGCTGCAAACCCTAATTTGTTTCAAGAATAAATTAGATAGATTTCTGCTAGAAAATAATATCTCAGGATACAGTTTGGGAAGTGACTGCCAGGATGGTGGAAGGTGAACTAGATGGACCTTGGCCTTCCGCCGAGCAAATGTTCTTATGTAAACCCTGGACTGTCCACCCTCTTGGGACGTCCTGCCGATATGAAAGGCACTAAATAAATGTACATTTGTTATTGTTATATATAGAGTAACTGATCCCAGGAGGAATTACAGGCTGTAGTATAACAGGAGATTCAGTGGTTTATATATATATATATATATATAGAGAGAGAGAGAGAGAGAGAGTAACTAATCCGGGAGGGTTACAGACTGGGGTCTAATCGAGGGTTAAGGTGGTTTATATATAGAATAACCAGCCCTGGGAGTGAGTTACTGACTGGCTTAAAATATAGGGATTCGGGTGGTTCACAGTGAGTTACATGCTGGGGTCTGACCGAGGGGCTTATACCCACAGGAAAGCCAGTAAAAGCAACACAGCCCCGTGTGTCCGTGTCACTGACTCCTGGTTCCCGGCTCAGCCCAGGGGGACCTTTATCACTGACGTGACTCCAGCTGCCTCGCACTGTGGGGATCCGTAATATTTCCCTGTATCACTAACTGTTTCTCCACCGATATCAATTCCTTGGACTCAGTGTCCACCAGCACAGGGCAGTGCCTTCAGGGTAGAAGAGGGCATGAGATGCAATAATAATAACAATAATCCTTGCATTTAATAGCGCCTTATCACGCCGTTGGGACACTTCTCAGAATATACTGTAAAGTGAATTGACTGTGTATTTTGTGGGTGAAACGTGATAGCCAATAGCACACACCAGTGACCCACAGATAGTCAAGGAGTGATGGGAGGAATTATCACCCCTCGGAAAGCGATCTACCAATCGAATAACAACCGGGTTCCTAAGGTTTTGCCCTGCTCGGGAATTGAACCCCGGTCCTCTCCACGACGCTATGGGACTCCTCAAGTGAGACTCCATACTTGTTTTTCGATGTGATTTGAGCACCTTATCCATCGTAGCCTCTCGGTGACACCAGACGGGAGCTGATCCTTCGCTCTCTTCCCCACAGTCGGCCGAAGGCACTCAGTTCACCCGCACACATCACGTGGTTAGAAAGACCACGCTTTACGACATGGATGTGGATTCGTCGCGGAAGTACGCTGCCATCGGCTGCCAGGACCGGAGCATCCGGTAGGTGTGAGGCCAAACCCCACAGCCAAACCCCACAGTCAAACACACAGCCAAACCTCACAGCCAAACACACGGCCAAACCCCACAGCCAAACACATGGCCAAACACACGGCCAAACCCCGCTGTAACACTGCTACACTCACACCCTTTGCTGTCACGACAACTCTCAGAAACACATTGTACTCTCAGGCCCTCTCTGACATTGGGGTGATTGTGATTCTGAGGTCCCAGTCTTTATTTATGAGTCTCAATTACCCCCCCCCCCACCCCTACCCCCTCTTTCTCTCTAATTAGGATATTTAACATCAGTAACGGCAAACAGAAGAAGCTGTACAAAGGGTCTCAGAGTGAGGACGGGACGCTGATCAAGGTGAGCTCCTGGGGGTGATGTAGCACTGAACGGCTCGAGGCAGAGACACTGCCTGTGATACCCAATGCAGCCCCGAGGGGACATGAAACAGCAACAGCATCCGAAGATGGGGTGAACAAAGTTGCGTGTGGGGGGGTGGGGGAGATGCTCCAGTCCTGGCAGCAACAATGTGCAACAGCGCCCTTCATGCAGTATAGAGTCTCAGAATCTGAGTGCTGCAGAGTGGCGTGTGGTTGGACACTGAGGAAAAGGGGGGAAGGGAGTGTGACCATAGGCTCGGCCGCTAATGGTGGCGGGTAATGAGGGGGCTGGGGGAGATTTATGGGGTGACACTGCGGGGCTGCCCCAGAGGCTGCTGCTGCTAATGTGTTGTTGAATCTATGTTTCCCTGTGGCAGGTTCAGATCGACCCCTCCGGCCTGTACATCGCAACCAGCTGCTCCGACAAGAACCTCTCCATCTTTGACTTCTACTCGGGAGAGTGTGTTGCCACCATGTTTGGCCACTCAGGTATAAGCTCGGCCTCGCTTCTGCGATTGTCGCCCTCTCTATTTACAGGGCTTTACTACACAGCAATGCATGGAGGCACAGGGCAATGTTACGGCCAGTATTAACACAGTGTGTTTACCGCATGCAGGACAGATAAAAGTGTGTAACGATGTACCAATGTACTGTAAAGTGGATTGAGTGTGTATTTTGTAGGTGAAACGCAGCAGCAATGTCGCGAAGGTTATGTGGCAGTGAGTTGTGGCAGGAACTCAGCACTTTGCTCATAGTTCCCTGTATTGGTGTTTTATTGCAGAGATTGTCACTGGAATGAAATTCAGCAATGACTGTAAGCATCTGATCTCCGTTTCTGGAGACAGGTAAGCGATTGCTCCACACACTCAGGTCTGTCCTATCCACCAATCCTTGTCCCCAGCTCCCCTGGCCCCCAGTCTCCGGCTTGACCCCCTACTCCTGCCTCAATCTGCGCTAGGGTGTGATGGGTTATGCTTTGGGGGAGGGGTGATGGAGGGTGTTGGGATGTGCTAGGGTGTGATGAAGTAATGGGGTGTGATGGGGTAATGGGGTGTGATGGGAAACGATAAGGAGTATTGAGGTGTGATTGGGGGTGATGGGGTAATGGGGTGAGATAGCCTGTAGCTAAGCTCTGTCCCCATTCTCTCCTCTCCTCACAGCTGTGTGTTTATCTGGCGCCTGAGCTCAGAGTTGACAATCAACATGAGGCAGCGTTTGGCCGAGATGAGACAGAAGGAGAAACGGCAGCTGAAGACTCCGCCTCACAAGCACTCCATCCCCATCAGGTACCTGCGTCCTCCCGAGTATCTCTGACAGGCAGGTAGTGTGTGATCAGTGTCTGACCCTACTTCCCTCCTCCCCGCCAGAGAATAGTCACGAGTTGATGTCCGACAAGGGTGGCTTTGAGCCCTAACCGTGTTGATAGGAGCTGCCCGCCAGACTCTGGGTGAGCAGCCCATCATGAAGCTCTCCTGCCTGTTGATCTGTGGAACACTGTAGAGTCTTGTAGTGTGGTGGTTAATACGCTCGCCTCACAAGCGAGAGGACCTGGGTTTGATATCCTGGGCGGGGCAAACCCTTAGGCAAGTTTCCTTACTCCAAAACATGCCTCTGTTTACCTAGCAGTAAGTAGGAATCCGGTTGTTAGTCGATTGGTGGATCGCTTTCCGGGGGTAATAATCCCTTCAAAAGAATATAATAATTAGGTCATGAAACCACAACTGTTTGTGGGATATTGCTGTGTTAATTAGCTGCCGTGTGTCAAACTATGTACTTTACGGTATATCCTGTGAAGGGTTTGAGACGTCTCAACGACTTGCTAAGGCTTTATATCAAATGCAATAATATTATTATTATCTGTGCGTACGGAACTGGTGGGTTGGTGGTCGAGAGGGCCGGGCAGCGACTGACCTGCTTTATTTGTGTCCAGACGAGAGACATTCACTGTGGCTCCTGCGACCGCCATGTCTTCGGACAGCGAGAAGGAAGCGGAGGATGATGTGAACGGGGAAGAGGACGAGCCTGGCCTCAGCTTGCTCAACAGAGGCAGTGTGGATGGTGCTGGTAGGTAGATCCCCCGCTACACCTCACTGCGGTGGGCGGGCAAGGCAAGGTAGGGTAGGGCAGGGCAGAGAGCACCCGCTTCCACCTCGAGTTTGTTCACAGCTCCCTGGGGAGGGGGTAAAGGGGGAGTGGGGGACGAGTTTCGGTAACTGGACGGGGAGGAGGGGGAGGATTGCTGAGAATCAGCTGTTGGAAGAATCCCGGAGAAGCGCGGAGAGCTGAAGAGCTGCCTCTCTCTGTCCTGCAGACCTGTGCTCGGGCCAGCTGTACGGGGGCAGCGTGAGGAGCCTGGGTCAGTGTGGGAGCGGCAAGGTAAGGTTTGCCTCCAACCTCCGTACCTCCGTCACATCAGTCCTCTCCAGGCTTCACCGTCTCCCTATCGCAGAACGGATCGACGTCGAGATCGCCACACTCGTCTGCATGTCCTGGCACGTTCCCTACCTCTCCGTCCGGCTTATTGCCCACTCCGCCACCCACCACCTCCGGCCGGCCGACTGGCTCTGGCCTCTTGCTTGTCTCTCGACCCTTCCGTTCCACCATTAGCGGCCGTGCATTCAGCCGCTACACCACTACGCAGAGGGCAGGGCTGCGCTGGTGACTGTGACCTGTTCCTCTGTGTCCGTTTGACAGGCGGATGCTGGGACCAGGAGGCTGGAGGCAGCTTGTGACGTAGCCCCCAGGCCTCGTGGACGGTGGTCTCACCGTGTGAATAACCTGGAGCTGAGCGTCAAGTCCATGCTGGACCTCCGCCAGCTGCACTCCTTCCCATTCTCCCCGGCGTTGGATCTCGGCTTCCCCCCGGAGAGTGGCCTGTCGGAGAGTGGGGGCTTCGGCGAGCTCGAGGGGGAGAGGCAGGCCGGCCGGTCCAGCGTGGAGACTCTGCTGAGCGATGTAAGTGCCGACCCCTGGGGGTGGTGGGGTGGGGGAGGGGGTGCTGTGAGTGTACGGACAGACACTGGCACTTTAGGGATTAATGGGTCACCCCCCACCCCCCTGCTCCATCGCTCGTCCTCTCACCTCTGTGACAGAAGACCCAGTGTGTGATTTTGAGCTCGTGTTGCTATCACTACACCAGACAGTCATCACTGTGAACCCGGGTTATACTGTGCTGCACACTGCGTGTCTCTCTCGGGTGCTGTGCTATTGACCGTCTCTCTCTCTCTCTCTCTCTCTTTCTCTCTCTCTCTCTCTCTCTCGGGGGCAGATTGAGGAGCAGGAGGCTGTGTACTCATCCTTCACTCGGCCTCGCAGCATCAGACTGAGCTCCCGACACCCCAGCACCCCCGAGTCTGAGGAGACCATCTACCCCATCGAGCAGGACATCACCACCGAGATTGAGAGGTGAGAGACACCTGTATATACACACACACACACACCACAATCCAACAGTAACATATTTAACTCTCTCTTTTTCCCCCTCTCTCTCTCTCTTCCTCTCTTTCTTCCCCCCTCTCTCTCCCGCTCCCCCTCTCTTGCCCCCCTCTCTCTGGCAGTGAGTATCAGGTGAAGGAGCTACAGGGGGTGGTGCTGAGGAAGGATTGCCGTAGTGTTGTGGAGAAGCACAGCCCAGACAGCGCCTGCTCCCTGGATTACTGCAGCAGCCACCTGTCCAGCCCTGAACACCCGCACGAAGGTCAGAGTCGGGCCATGAGCCCCCGTGTACACCACAGCCACAATTCCACCTAGTCTTAGCCTGTCGCACCATTTGTGTAGTCTACTGTATTGGTTAGAGCACTCAGGGATGGGGTTCCAGTGGGCAAAAAAGCTGATGCCCGGACCACCGACGGTGGGGCGATCAGGGAGGGGGAACATGAATCAGCCAGTGCCCGCTGAGCGGAGGGAGCAGAATCACAGATTTATTGATAACAGTGGAGTCCTGTAGCTCAGTAGTTAGAGCACTCGCTTTGCAAGTGAGAGACCTGTGTTCAATTCCAGGCACAGGGCGAAACCTTGGGCAAGTTTCCTTACGCCACACAGAGCCTAATAATAATCCCTCCAAAAAAACAAAACAATAAAAAATTGGTCATTTTCAATCCACGACTGTTTGTGGGACATTGCTGTGCGCAATTGGCTGCCGCGTTCGCCCACAAATATACAGTCAATTCACTTTACAGTATATTCTGTGAAGCGCTTTGGGACGGCGAGAAGACGTGAAAAGCGCTATATCAAATGCAAGGATTATTATTATTATAATAACGTGGAAGGGAAGTGCCACTGTCCACTCTCAGTGCCTGTATTTCACCCTTTGGAACTCTGTCCCACAGTCGCTTCATCTCACTCCCTCTCTTGCCTCCTTCAAGGCACGTCTTAAGACCCTCCTCTCGACCGGACCTAAGGTCAACCCTCCTACCCCTACCCTCTCCACCCTGCTGTGACAGAGGGATGGGGTGGTCAGTGTCACTGTGTTGCTGTGACAGAGGGATGGGGTGGTCAGTGTCACTGTGTTGCTGTGACAGAGGGAGTGGTGTGGTCAGTGTAAAAGGCTGTGGATGCTCAGTCATTGAACATATTCAAGACTGAGATCGATAGATTTTTAAAAACTAATGGGATTAAGGGATACGGGGATAGGGCGGGTAAATGGAATTAAGTTAGAAGATCAGCCATGATCTTATTAAATGTTGGGGCAGGCTCGAGGGGCCGAAGGAATAATATAATATTATTAATATTATAATATTTATAATATAATATTAATAATATAATATTAACAATATAATATAATATTAATAATAATAATAGATTCGGAATGCACGGAGCCGCTGAGCGTGGATGGGAACTCGTCGGATCTGGAGGAGGAGGAGGATGAGCTGAGCCGGAGGAGGGAGAGTGTCGTGCCCAGAACGCCGGATCAGGAAATGTTCCTCAAGCAGCACTTTGGGACCCTGGCCGACGAGATGGCAGGAGGTAGGAACTCTTTGCTGTCCCGTGGAGTCCCGTAATGTAATGGTTAGAATCACTCGCCTCGCAAGCGAGAGGACCCGGGTTCCTGGACTGGCTCCAGGGGGTGACATGTATGACAAGGGAATGTCGGAAATGAGCCAACCCTCTGTGGTGGTCTCGTTATCCCGGTTCCTGAGCCAGGCAGGTCTGCAGGACCTCCAGGGCCTCCAGGGCACTGACAGACCAGTAAAAGTCCAGTTATGTTAACAGAGGGCGCTTGTAGACAGGGTTTACTCTCTGTGTTTAACGCAATGTCTGAACGTTTGTCTGCAGTGAGGATTGAGCAGCGTAGGGGCAGTCTGCAGTCTGAGGCCAGAGAGCACCAGGCCTTGCTGAACGCCAGGCTCAGCATCTCAGCCAAGTTCCTCTCCCGGTCGCTGACATCCAGCCCCAGGTCAGTGGGAACTGTTTATTATCTTGGCATGTGGGTGTGGTGGAGTGGAGGCTTGGTGGGTGGGTGGGGTGAGTGATTACTGCCTTTCGTGCATGTTTCTTACCTCAGCATCAGAATACTGTTAACATGGGAACCTGACGAGCGCTGAACACGAGGTGTGCTTTGGAATACCAACAGCTTTTAAAGCCATCGCTCAGAGAGGCGGGGAAGTCAAGCCAGCCTCACTCAGGGCAGCTAGAGGACGGCCGAGAAAGAGAAATGCAGGGGAACACAAGAGCAGGAGTACCCCCATTCAGCCCCTCAAGCCTGTTCCGCCATTCTGTTAGATCATGGCTGATCTGTACCTCAACTCCATTTACCCTGAGATAATGACAAAGGATCATTAACAGGAACAGGTAACCAGGAAGGGTGGTGGAGGTCCGGTTGCTGGATTCTTCAGCATCATGAGATCAAGCATCGGCCTGATGCCACAGCATGTTGGGAAGGTGATGGCTTGGTATTTTGTAAAGAGATAAAGTGCCTTCTTCATCCTTCCTCGCGGCCTTTCGGGGGAGAGAGTTCCCGATCTCCACTCCGCTTTGTGCGAAAACTCTGGAGGCTGGTGCCCTGGTTTACTGGGTGTTGTGCGGGGAGCACCTCTCATTGGGTTGGGGTGTGCATGTCTGTGGCCGGTGTATTTATTGCCTTCTTGAGTCACTAAGAGTGTGCCTGTATTGCTGTACTTCATTCTGTGTTATTTAAACCCAACAGAGTCTCGTAGCATAGTGGTTAGCGGGCTCGCTTCACAAGCGAGAGGACCCGGGTTCATTTCCCAGGCAGGGATAAACCTTTAGCAAGTTTCCTTACTCTTTACTTAGCAGTAAGTAGGAACCTAGTTGTTAGTCGATTGAGGGATCGCTTTCCGGGGTTAACAAATAATCCCCAAAACCCCATAAAAAACAGGTGTACGGGTGGGCGCGGGGCGAGTGTAGATAAATGGGACTGAATGGATCGCTCTCTAAAAGAGCAGCACAGACATGGACTGTCGAAGAGTAAGAAGGGAGTTTCTATGGTTCCATGAAGTGCAGAATAGCCAGTCAGTCTTCTCCCAACTACACTCCCTACACAAACCTCCTCTGCTTATTGTGAAGCTCCACGAACCTTCCTCATAACAAGCTCTTGCTGACAATTGCAGAACCTCATCAGACCTTCCCTCCCAGGCGCCTCACCTTCCTTGGCCAACAGGAGATCAGCCCCCAGTTCCAGCCTCCAAGGTACAAGAGAAGGAAGAGATCTCTGCAATTCAGGGTGAGAGCAAAGCAGAGATTTCTACCACAGAACCTCAGGAACAGGAGGACACAGCCAAATCCAAGATCTGGGAACAGATACAGGTAGAGAATGTAAGCATTTACTATTTTGACTTTTCTTCTCCAGTACTTTAAGCTACAGGTTGCAACCCTGTGTTAAAGATTGCTGAATAATTGCTAGTTTTATATTGGTAGCTTAAACAATGTGTGAACTTTAGAAGAGTAAGAAGGGAGTTAAGGTTGTGTCTTTGACATGTTGTCTGGAAGGGTTGGACTAGATATCTTCAGCGGCAGTGTAACATACTGTAACATAGGAATCCAGTAGTGTACTGGTTAGAGCACTGTCCTCGCAAACAAGAGGACCCGGGTTTGAATTCCGGGCGGGGCGAAATCTTGGGCAAGTTTCCTTACTCAACACGCCTCTATTTACCTAGCAGTCAATAGGAACCCGATTAGTCGATTGGTGGATCGTTTTCTAGGGGTAATAATCCCTTCAAAATAAATGAATAAATAGTAATGTGGTCACTCAATCCAAGTTTGTGGGACTCTGCTGTGCACAATTGGCTTTTGCGTTTAACCTACAAAATATACTTTACAGTCAATTCACTTTACAGTATATGCTGTGAAGCTCTTTGAGATGTCTCAGCAATGTAATAAGGTGCTGTATCAAATGCAAGTATTACTGTCATTATTAGGCGCTTTGAGTTGCCTCGACAACATGATAAGGTGCGAAACCTAATGTAAGGATTACAATAATAATGATTTATTTTACACTCTTTTTAACAGCTTGCATCAAAATCCTTTACGTTGTTAAACTATACCCCAGTGAAAAGCCCAGTGAAAGTCACGCTGATAGCAGATGCCAAGACTGTCGCAGAGAAGCCATCGCCTGTGAAAATGCAGGTTACTCAGAGGAAAGAGACCACAACCCTGGAGCCGCAGGGAGCTGGGAAGCCACAGGAATCCTCAGCATTTCCATGTGTATCTGTGTTATCCATCCCAGTCATCAGGAAATCCAAGTCAGTCCATAACCTGGTCTATGACGGTGAGCAGAAAAAAACAGAGACCTCTCTGTGTGGAGGACATTGCTCAGTGGGTTAGTGTGAGGCTGACCTCACCACAGAACACCCTGATCTGTTGGATCCCCCCTGTGGTATCAGTGCTGCTGTGGGAACAGGGCTGGAAGGAATGAGATTGTTCACTCATGCACGCGCTCACCCTCACACTTTCAGGTGATACAGTAGCGCTCTCGCCTCCCAGTCACAAAGTCAACAAACACTCAAACCAGTGGAATCACGTAGATTAGTGGTTAGAGTACGTGTCTCGAGAGGACCAGGGTTCGATTCCCTGGCAGGACAAACCCTTAGGCAAATTTCCTCACTCCACATGCCTCTGTTTACCTAGCAGTAAGTAGGATTGTTAGTTGATCGGCGGATCACTTTCTGGGGGCAATAATCCCTTCAAAGAAATAAGGGAAGGGAGTTTCACTCTCCTGGGTCCCAGCCGACAATCCCCCAAATAAAACAGGTCATTGACTCTATGGCTGTTTGTGGGACACTGTTGTGCGTAATTGGCTATTACGTTTCGCCTACAAAATACACAGTCACTCATCTTTACAATATATTCAGTGAAGCGCTTTGAAATGTCTCAACGATGTGATAAGGTGCTATAGCAAACAATACAAGGATTATTATTATTATTATTATTATTAATAGTCTCCTCAGTGAAGAGTAGTGAACTAGCGGAGATTCCTGGTGGAGAATCCCATGATTAAGATGTTGTGCTGACAAAGATTCCTCCATAATGTAACTCTTTCCACGATGCTTAGTGGTGAGGATATTTGGGGATGACCCTTTGTAATCCTATCGTTGGTGCTTTTTCGGGGGTAACAACCCCTTCAAAAAAAAATATTAATCATAATCATTTGGTCATTCAATCCACGGCTATTTCTGGGGGCGCTGCTGTATGCAATGGGCTGCCGGGCTTTGCCCACAAAATATACGGTCACTACACTGTACAGTATAATTTGTGAAGAGCTTCGAGATGTCTCAAAGACGTGATAAGGCGCTCTATCAAATGCAAGGATTATTATTATTATTATTATCTTTCTGTCTGTGGATGGGTCGTTTCCATTGTGTTTCCATCTTCCCAGCTGACAGGACAGCTCCAGTCCTCCTCACTTCCACGACGCTTCAGTCCCAGTCATTGCTGGTGACAGAGAAAGATCCCAGGGCCAACCAGCGTCGGACTCTGTCACCGGCTCCTGCTAAAATGGACATCTCAGCCTCGTCGCCGATGAAGGACAGCTCTCTGGGCAGGGCTGCCAGGCAGAAGTCCTACATGAGTCCAACCACCAGCTCCATGGCCAAAATGTCCCGCAGCGTTTCGATGGGCGACAGCCTGAACTTTGTGGAAAACGGCGAGGGCCTTTCGGTAACCGAAAGCGGGACCCTAGGGCACCCCACGTCGGACATCTCACCCGCAGAGTCGCCCTCGGCAACCCTGGACACCGCAAAGAACCTTTCTCCCAAACCGGAGCTGGCTAAAGAGACCTGGAGAGAGAACGCGAGCTACAGAATAGGTTCGCAACAGATGGGATCTCCAGGACTCTCTCCAGCGAGTGGCTCGCAGACTAAACTAACCCCTGGAGTCCGGGCGAACTTATTCCTGGATCTGCCCAACCCGCTGCCCGATAGACCTTGTTTGGCTTCTTTCTCCGCTCCAGCCTGGTTCAAGTCTCCCTGTGAGGCCGAGTTTCCCAAACCACCTGCCTCGGGGATAGGAGGAGGAGGAGGAGGAGGGATGAAATGGAAGGGTTTCTCGAGTGAGGGGCAAGGTGGTGGTGTGTTCACCCCCAGACAGGAGACCAGTGCTCAGCTAGAATCACAGGCCTCCTGGAAGGGGCCCGGTGAGTCCCAGCTGGGGACGTCCCTCAGGTCCCCGTCCCACCCAGCGGCTCCTTCCTTCCTGCCCACGGGGTCCAGGTCCAAACGCACACGGCCAAGCTTGGATCTGTCAGACACGTCCCCCGGCGTGCCCGCCGATCAGAGACACACGCCAACCACTCCCACGGCGCCAGCAACACCTGCCAGCGGGCTGCAGACAGCTCCAGCCAAGGAATCAGGTCTGAACACAAGTCTGCCTGCTCTCCATTTACACAACCCTCTCTCTGGGCTTTCTGTCACTTCTTTGTCTCTCCCTATTTCCACCCACTTTCTCCAGACTTTCCATCCTTTCTCGCTCTCTCTCTCTCTCCCTCCCCCTCTCTCTCTCTCTCTCTCTCTCTCTCTCTCTCTCTATTTCCTCCCCCTCCAGCCTTTCTCCTGTCTCTCCCCGCTGTCTGATCCGTGTGCGTGTGTTTTGCAGGTATCTCCGTCAGTGTTCAGAGCTGTAAGCTGCTGGCCAGTGAGTTGCAGAGTTCCTTCAACAAAGCCTTGTGCCTGTATCGAACAGTGAGTATCCCTCTCAGCCCACAGCAATGAGGTCACGTCACGATAGGATCTATAGCACAACTGCGGGGTGTGGTGGAGTGCCCGGTTCAGCAGTGTTCCCCTACGTAGACTCCCGGTGTCATCCCCGCTGGGAGGCATTGATTATTGTGAGTGGGTCAACCTGGTGCAGTGGCAGCACTCTTGCCTCTGAGTCAGAAGGTTGTGGGGTTCAAGCCCCACATCAGGACTTGGAATCATATCGTCTAAGCTGATGCTCCATCGCAGTGCAGGGGACGCCCTGTATTGTTGGAGGTACCTTCATTCGGATGAGACGTTAAACCGAGGTCCCATCTGCCTATTCTGGTGGATAATAAAGATCCCATAGCACTATTCGAAAAGAGTTTCTCTCTCACGGTGTCCTGACCGACAATCCCTCAAATAAAATTGGTCACTCTCTTCACGGCTGTTTATGGGACGTCGCTGTGGTCAAACTAGCTGCCGCACTTCGCTCACAAAACACACTGTCACTCCACTTCACAGTATGTCCTGTGAAGTGCTTTGAGATGCCTCGACGATGTGATAATCTGCTATATCAAATAATAATTCTTGCATTTGATATAGGGCCTTATCATGTCTTCGAAACATCTCAACATCGCCCAACATTTCGCCCTGCCTGGAATCGAACCCAGGTCTCTCGCTTGCGAGGCGAGTGCTCTAACCACTGAGCTCCAGGACTCCACAAATACAAGGATTATGGTTATTATTGGGGGGAGTGAGGGGGGCTGCGTGTGACTGCATTGCCCACTCTCTGCCTCACTGTTAACATTCATCTGAAGTTATTCAGCTCATTTTGGAAACTGCCTGTCTGCCTATTCAGGTGAGGACTAAAGATTTGTGGAGTCCTGTAGCTCAGTGGTTAAAGCACTCGCTTTGCAAGCGAGAGACCTGAGTTCAATTCCCGGCAGGTCAGGGCGAAACCTTGGGCAAGTTTCCTTACTCCACACAGAGCCTAATAATAATCCCTCCAAAACCAAAACAATAATAAATTGGTCATTTTCAATCTACGACTGTTTGTGGGACATTGCTGTGCGCAATTGGCTGCCGCGTTCGCCCACAAATATACAGTCAGTTCACTTTACAGTGTGTTCTGTGAAGCGCTTTGGGACGTCCTCCCGACGTGAAAAGCGCTATATCAAATGCAAGGATTATTATTATTATTATTATTATTCACTCCCTGTCTCTTTCCCCCCAACCCCCCCCCCACACCCAGGTGACTGCATGTCAAGACCCCTCCAAGGAGAGCTGCCAGATCACAGCCATTCTCCAGGACACATTTTCCTCTGTGAGGAAGGACCTAGACTGTCTGCAGTGCTCTGTGGGAGGCTGTGGACCCCCATTGCCAGGGCCGGGCAGGGTCACACCTTCTCCCCAGCCCCCAAGCAGCGAAGGCCTGGGGGACGAGAAGACCCAGGCGCTGTTACAACAGTACTCGGAGCTGTTGCTGAGAGCCGTGCAGAGGAGGATGGAGCACAAACAGTCGTGAGCCGGGCAGGCTGGGGACCCGGGATTGTGGGGGAATGTCAGGCTCGCCCCTCTCCTCTCCTCTCTGCCCCCCCCTCCTCGGACTTTCCATCCACGAGGACAAACCAAAGGCAACACTGCCCCTGCGTGCTCAGCCTGTGCTCCCTCACCCCACTCTGTCACACACGTGGACTTGTGTGACACTCATCTTCTATGCCCTATGGCTCAGTTTTTTACATCGAGGTTCCTGGAGTGTGACCTGGAGTGTGGGCGCTCAGTTTGCTCCCAACAGATTATTTCACAGTGGTATTGGTGGTGGAAAGGAGGTGTGGAGAGCTGTTCTACAATGATCCTGTCTCCCCTCCTTGTCCCATCTCTCCCTCTGCCGTTCTCCCTTATACGCTCTCTTATACAACAGACCAGACTGGAACACTACAGGCACCAATGCAGGTCTCCCACTCTGACCTCATGTCACAGTCTACATTGAATAGGATCTTAGAATCCTACAGCACAGGAGGAGGCCATTCAGCCCATCGTGTCTCTGCCGCCTCTTTGAAAGAGATACCCAACCAGTCCTACTCCCCCACTCTTACTCCATTACTCTGTAAATTTTTCCTTTCGAAATACATATCCAATTTGTAAACCTGCCATCCAAACCACTTCCACCAGCCTTTCAGGCGCTGCATTCCAGATCGTAACAACTCTCTGGGTAAACAAAATTCTCCTCGACTCCCCTTTGGTTCTTTTGCCAGTTATATTAAATCTGTGACTTCTGGTTAACCAACCCACTCACTGAAGGAAACAGTTTCTCCCTACCTATTCTGTCAAAACCCTTCACAATTTTGCACAGCTCTATTAAATCTCCCCTTAACCTTCTCAGCTCTAAGGAGTACAATCCCCGCCTCTCTAATCCCTCATCCCTGGTAACATTCTGACAGTCCATAACTAACGGTACATATCTAACTGCCTAACTCATCAGATAGAGCTGGTGCTCATGTACATCACGGAGTGGTTTGTGGTTGACTCCTCAGAGGTGTATCAATGAATCTTCGGGATGTGATTCTGAATCAATGTAAAAGAGACAGCTGCATGTACTGGACATCCACAGAACGTCAGTCAGACCCCCTAGAGAGAGGTAATTTCAGATGAAGAAGGCCCTTCAGCCCACCTCATTCCTCCAGGATCTCCACCCCTACCGTCCTCCCACTTCAGCGTCAAACTATTGTTTTGATTGCACCCCCACTCAACCACCCTTCCTGGTAATCGGTTCCACCCTCTGTTTCCTGTGTAAAGGAATACTTCCTGGTGACTGTCCGATCTCCTCTTGTCCTGCTGCCTTGATGTATCTGAAATTGGTGTGGTTTGACATTCTGTGTCCTTTTTAAGTATTTTATTTATCTCTAACGTGCTCTTTTGAGGCAAGAGGTCACATTGTAGAGATGTATAAGATCCTGTTCAAGGTTTGTCCAGTCATTCCTCAGGGCTCTTCCATCTGATGATCAAAATTTGGTCACTCAATCCACAACTGTTTGTGGGACACTGTTGTGAGCAGTTGGCTGCCGTGTTTGCCCACAAAATACACAGTCAATTCACTTTACAATACTGTGAAGAGCTTTGAGACGTCTCAACGACGTGATGAGGCGCTATATCAATGCAAGGATTATTATTATTATTATTATTATCATCATCGAATGCCTCATTGCTCGCAGCATCTGGTCAGACCTCTATGTTGAAGTGACCAGAAAAGAAGGGAGTCTTACGGATGCGGAGGGTCCTATTCCTTAGATATTTCCAGTGGCTTTCCAGTGCAATTCCCTGATGCCAGCCATTCCCCTTAATGTGGGGATATGTAAATTGGCATGTGCTGTTGGTCTCTCTTTTTATACTGTGATATTCTGCATTCCACCGTGGAGCACACATCCACATATGCCCAATTTCCTCCACTCGGAAAACCCCAGAGGATGAAATCCCGGGGAGATTACTTTATTATTATTACCGATTGACTGAAACCACGAGTTTCAGTCAATCCCTGGAAGCTGCAGGAGATATGTTTGGGATGCACTTCGCACAATTTCCATTGCAGTTGAGTATTCCCTCCAGCTATCGTCGCAGCGCAGCCCGAACCCTTTGCCCAGCATTCAGACCCATTACGAATTCCCAGACACCAAGAGTCGTACAGTGTGGTGGTTAGAGCTCTTGCCTCGCAAGCGGGAGGACCTGGGTTCAATTCCCGTGCAGGCAATATCTTAGGTAAGTTTCCTTACTCCACACGCCTCTGTTTGCCTAGCAGTAAAGAAGGAACCCAGTTGTTAGTCGATTGGCAGATCGCTTTTCGGGAGTAATAAACCCTTCAAAAAAATTAATAAAAATTTGATCACTCAATCCACAACTGTTTGCGGATGGAGTGACTGAATTTATAAATAATTTTAATAATCCACAACAGTTTGTGAGGCTGCTGTGTGCAATTGGCTGGCGTATTTCACCCACGAAACCACAGTAAATCCACTTTACAATATATCCTGTGAGACGACTCAACAACATGATAAGGCGCTAGATCAAACGCAAGGATTGTTATTATTATACCAGCCATTTCCCCACTTAGCCTGTGCCACTGTTTAATTTGTTCCTGACGGCGATTTACATGACATTCCTGTTTGCTGGTTTTATCTCAGTTTAGCTTCACTCTGAAAAGCTCCCAGTCTCAGTGAGTTATTTGGTTTTTTGTCAATTGATTGAATTTCCTTCCTTTATTATTCTCTCGTCCCTGACCATGTGACAGTTTATGTGACAGTTTGCACAACTGGGGTTGGATAGTGGTGCTGAAGGCATCTTCCTGCGGCTCTTGTCACAAAGGGCAGGGCAGGACATTAATAATAATAATTTGGTCAGTTAATCCACGATTGTTTGTGGGACACTGCTGTGCGCAATTGGCTGCCGCGATTCACCAACAAAATCTACGGTCAATTCAATTTACACTGTATTCCATGAAGTGCTTTGAGACGTCTCAAAGACGTGATAAGGCGTTATATCAAGTGCGAGGATTATTATTATTATTACTGACAGAGACACACAGTGGTGGTTCTTGGTTGTTGCTACACTTGTCTTCGGTCCACACTACCAGATTTGCGGAGCCAGAGAGAACAAAACATGAAGCAGACTTTTTTGGGGGGATCAGCCCATCTTTTTGATCATCTGGGCTGAACGGGACACGACAGCTCCTTGTGTGTATGTGCTTCTTTTTGATGACACACTTTTTCGGGCTGTTTTTTTAACCAAATCTGTATCTTTTCGTACTTGAATCGGGTCATGTGGTTGCGCCCGCCCTTGGTTATGAAAGCCATTGATCCCGGCGGACTTTCAAGAGACAATGTCAATGTAACTTACACCAGCAGAGCTACCCTGAACACTGAACAGGGTGAGGCTCAAATCTGCAGGAAACTCCCAGACTCTCAAACTCTGGACATGGAACCTCTGAGCCTTGGAGAGTGACGATCTCCCAGAATCTGGACTGAACCCCCGGAATTCTGTGAAGAAGCAACCACTGCCAGTCAGGAATCCCGTCCTTAAGTTTCAGTGGGAATGTGTTCCTCGAAGACGGGGAGGAATTCCCCACGGACCGACGGACTGTCTTGCAGTCTCCGAAGAGACCTCTTTGGAGACATCGTTCCTGGATTCCTGGTATCTCCCGGCAACACTGACTTCATGCCAACAACATGGGGAAGAGGGATCCACCAGAAGTTAACCATTCGGCTCCTCAGCTCAATGATCTTTGCCATCGAAGAGTTCTCTGCTGTAATTGTACCAGAGCAGGCTTGAAGCTTCTTTCTCAGAGCAGGCAATCCCTGACTGAACCTCTCTCTCTCTCTCTCTTTCTCTCGCATGCTCCTGTGTGCACAGAACACACAGCAGATGTCAGTGCGCCCAGAGTTTCCAAAAGTAAATGAAAGATTTAGCGCCGTTACACTCGAAGCAATTGTACACCGTGGGTAAACACAGCTGTATTATGAACTATGTGTAAATAACAATTTATACAGCGTGTTTCACGTCAGGAGGATGTCTCAAAACAATTCACATGTTGAATGGGAGCTTGACTGGAAGGGGGGAGCTTGGGGGAGAAGGAAGGTGTCTGAAAGTGTAGTCGAAGAGATGAGTTTCAAGGTGGGGAGAGAGTGGTGAGGTGAGGTCACACTGGGTTGGATTTCCAGACAGGTTGAATGGTTGAAAACTCACCCACCAAGGAACGGCTCCCAGTCAGGAATCCCACCCATAGGTTTCAGTGGAAATCCACCAAACGAACATAGGAATTGCTAAACTAAAAAAGGCCAAGGTCCATCTAGTCTGCCTTCTACCATCCCGGAAGTCGCTTGCTACAATAATGTAGATGTTGATAGCAATTCATTCTGTATGGATTAGTCCACAACAGAGAGGAAAGCATTAGGAATCTTAGATCTAAAGTTTCCTAGTTCTTTCGAGTAACTACACTTACTATATGTCATGTCCCAAATGACTCATACCCTGTATCTGCAAGATATTATTTTCTAAAAGAAATTATCCAATTTGTATTTCTGCGTCTTAGGGAGCCTGTTTCATAGATTCACCACTTGCTCACTGAATTAGTGTTTCCGCAGATTACCCCTCTTCAGTCGCAGGCTGTGTCTTCCGGTTCTACTGTTTTGGACAAGGTGAAACAGCTTGTCATGGTCTACGTTATCTAGTCCCTTTAGAATTTCTTAATGGGTTCCTCAAAGATGATGAGGTGGGCAGGGGGTTCATGAAACAGCCTGGTTAGCTGTTAGTTACATGATGAAGAGCACCTGTTATTCTCTCTGCATATGTGTTTACACATAGAGCATAATTGCACCTGTATTAACCCACGGTTTAAATAATGTTCATAAAAGACTCCAATATGCAGAAACGAGGCGTGAACAGGGCAAGTTTTGGAGATTGAGGGCTTTGGGAGAGAAAGGTTCAGTTTGTGTAAAAAAACAAATGTCTTAACCTGTCCCCAATTACTCAGGGGTAGAACCAAACGCTTTGTGGTGTTGGCACCACCAATATGGGGGTCACTTCAGCGTCAATGCTTGGATGAGCGGGCAACAAAGGTCAGTGAAAGTTCCTGCTTCTGATCAACTTCTCGTGAACTCTTCTGAAAGCGAACTGTCAGTGTTGGAGAATGACAGGCTCTGATTTTTTTCCCCCGAAAGACCTGCTGACCAAGTTCCCCGACAACGAACAGTCACTTGCCGATTCGGGCCGTGCCCAGTTCCGTTAGTTGGCAACATTGGTCGCAATACAAAGTCTAAACCAGGAGCGGATAGAGCAGTTCTCTTTCCCAGTGCTGTACATTCCTACTGTTTCTATAACTTAGCACCGATCTCTGGTGTTAAGAATCCGGGTGCCTTTCTCCGCGAGTTGTTAGGAGTTTAGGGTCCTCCTGAGATATCAGGAAGTCGGCCCTCTCCACTCGAGGTGTCCGTATGCAGGGAACAGCCTGCAGGAGAATATGGCAGAACTCGTTATTTGTAAAAGATGCGATCTTGGCCGCTCTGAATCAGGAAAGAGCGATGAACGGAATTGTGCGTGTGTTGAAGAATGTTGGAGCTATAAACTTCCAGAGACTTTTATGTGAACGAGACAGGACATTGCAGTTTCTGGAGAAGTGACGTCTTTATGCATGAAATTCCTTTGCATGGTGCCTCGTTTCAGTTCTGCATGTTGAAAGGACAGTGGCCATTTTGGAAACCTTTTTACACTTTCTTGAACCATTTTTTCTGTGAAGAATACTTTGTAATTTTATAAGGAAAACTGCTGTTTTTTTCGCCACGGTGTCAGCAAACTGATTTCTAAGCTGGTTGACGTTGACGTGTGTTTTTTCTGTGTCGTCCTCACAGTGTTTTTACCAGTTCTCCATAGTGTTGGTTATGATGACCTGTTGGTGACGTCTTAAATCTTTGCAATAAAACTCCTGATGTTTTGGAGGAAAGCTTTAAAGTGATCTGGACCCGTGTTGGTTTGTTGGTCCGCGGACGGAGAGATAACCTCAGACGTGAAAGTTTCCCACTTGTACTATGGTTCTGTTCGAGTTTCTTAAAAGAAACGATGGTGTTTAGAGTTATAACAATTCTTTGTTTTATGGTGTATACGTGTCTCGCAGTCAGTTACACGTGGAATACCTATGATATCTACACACAGAATACACAGAATTTCCAGGCAGGTCAGGGCGAAACCTTGGGCAAGTTTCCTTACTCCACACAGAGCCTAATAATAATCCCTTCAAAGCCAAAAACAATAATAAATTGGTCATTTTCAATCTACGACTGTTTGTGGGACATTGCTGTGCGCAATTGGCTGCCGCGTTCGCCCTCAAATATACAGTCAATTCACTTTACAGTGTGTTCTGTGAAGCGCTTTGGGACGTCCTCCCGACGTGAAAAGCGCTATATCAAATGCAAGAATTATTATTATTATTATTATTATTACACAGTCGCTGCACTTTACAGTCGATTCGCTTTGAGACGCCTCGACCACGTTTGTGAGGCTCTACGTCAAACGAAAGGACGATGGAGTAAAACTGCCGACGCGAAAGTTTCCCATTCGTGATGCGGTTCTTTGGGAGTTTCTTTTTTTCTCGAGAAGGAGACGGTATTTAGCGACTGACGTTTGTGTGGTTCGCGGCTGCCGCGGGTCTCGCGGTCAGTTGTACGTGGACAGGACACGCCCGGTCCACGGCAACAATTCACCCCAATCTGATACCGTCCATCCCTGTGTGCACAACAACAACAACAACAACCATTTGCATTGCTACAGAGTGACTCAGAGGTCCTTATTAATAGCGTTAGTGAATGCAGAGCTGAACCTGACATGAAAGGCGCTGTGACTGATTCTGACCAGTGGGCGGCGCTGTGACTGACTGACTGACCAGTGGGCGGCGCTGTGACTGACTGACTGACCACTGGGCGGCGCTGTGACTGACTGACCACTGGGCGGCGCTGTGACTGACTGACTAACCACTGGGCGGCGCTGTGACTGACTGACTGACCACTGGGCGGCGCTGTGACTGACTGACCACTGGGCGGCGCTGTGACTGACTGACCACTGGGCGGCGCTGTGACTGACTGACTAACCACTGGGCGGCGCTGTGACTGACTGACTAACCACCGGGCGGCGCTGTGACTGACTGACTGACTGACCACTGGGCGGCGCTGTGACTGACTGACTGACCACTGGGCGGCGCTGTGACTGACTGACTAACCACTGGGCGGCGCTGTGACTGACTGACTGACCACTGGGCGGCGCTGTGACTGACTGACTGACCACTGGGCGGCGCTGTGACTGACTGACTGACCACTGGGCGGCGCTGTGACTGACTGACTGACCACTGGGCGGCGCTGTGACTGACTGACTGACCACTGGGCGGCGCTGTGACTGACTGACTGACCACTGGGCGGCGCTGTGACTGACTGACCACCGGGCGGCGCTGTGACTGACTGACCGGGCGGTGGGGGATGGAGGCGGTGCGGCGGGGGCTGCGGCGGGTGGGGGAGGAGGCCCGCGGTGAGTGAGAACCCGAGGCCGAGGCCGAGGCCTGGACTGGGCCTCGCGACCAAATTCAAGTAAATCAAACAATGACACAATTAAAATAATCCTTTCATCATCTCCACAGCCCATAGCCCTCACACCATAGCCCCCACACACACACCCCCACAGCCCTCACACCCCCCACACCCCCCACACTCACAGCCCACAGCCCTCACCACACACCCCCCACACAGCCCCCCACAGCCCTCAACCCCACACCCTCACACCCTCACAGCCCATAGCCCCCACACCATAGCCCCACACACCCCCACACCCCCCATAGCCCCCTCACCCCATAGCCCCCACAGCCCTCACCCCCCCACACCCCCCACACTCACAGCCCATAGCCCCCACACACCCCCCATAGCCCTCACACCATAGCCCCCACAGCCCCACAGCCGTCACCCCATAGCCCCCATAGCCCCCTCACCCCCCACACCCCCACAGCCCTCACCCCACAGCCCTCACCCCCACAGCCCTTACCCCCCACAGCCCACACCCCCCACAGCCCACACCCCCCACAGCCCTCACCCCACACAGCCCTCACCCCATAGCCCCCATAGCCCCACCCCACAGCCCTCACCCCACAGCCCCCACAGCCCTCACCCCACACAGCCCTCACCCCATAGCCCCCACAGCCCTTACCCCCCACAGCCACACCCCCCACAGCCCTCACCCCATAGCCCCCACAGCCCTTACCCCCCACAGCCCACACCCCCCACAGCCCTCACCCCATAGCCCCCACAGCCCTCACCCCATAGCCCTCACACCCCCCCACACCCCCACAGCCCATAGCCCTCACCACACAGCCCCCCCATAGCCCCCACAGCCCTCACCCCCCCACAGCCCCCACACACCCACACAGCCCTCACCCCACACCCCCCACAGCCCCCACCCCCCACCCCCACAGCCCTCACCCCACACCCCCCACAGCCCTCACCCCACAGCCCCCCTCACCCCCCCACAGCCCCCACAGCCCTCACCCCATAGCCCTCACCCCACAGCCCCACACCCCCCATAGCCCCCACACCCCACAGCCCTCACCCCATAGCCCCCACACACCCCCCACAGCCCTCACCCCATAGCCCCCCCTCACCCCCCCATAGCCCCCACACCCCCCACAGCCCTCACCCCATAGCCCCCCTCACCCCCCCCCATAGCCCCCACACCCCCCCACAGCCCTCACCCCCACACCCCCCATACACCCCCACACCCTCCATAGCCCCCACCCCCCCTCACCCCACAGCCCTCACCCCCACACCCCCCATATCCCCCACACACCCCCACACCCTCCATAGCCCCCACCCCCCCTCACCCCCACAACACCCCCGCCCACACACTGAGCCCAGTCTCCGCCTCGTTCACACAGAGCTGTACCTGAACCAGACTGTGCCGTACCTGGACCGGGCCCCGACCCCACTGGAATTCCACCGGGACTGGCTGAGCCCCAACAGGCCCTTCGTGCTGCGCAACGCCATCAACCACTGGCCGGCGCTCTCCAAGTGGACAACCGGCTACCTCAGGTGCCGCGCTCAGCACGTCCCTGCGCGCTCGCCTTGCCGGCCGGAGGGACCCCGGGGCGAGACGTTAGTCAGGTTTCCTTACTCCCCGCTCCCGATTGCCGAGCGGTAAGCGGGAACCCGGTGGGCGATCCCTCGGGCGGACCTCGGAAGATCTTGCGGCGCGGGGGGAGGGCGGGGGGGATTGACGGCCAGGACACCGGGAGAGAGAGAAACGCCCTTCTCCTTCTCGAATGGCGCCGTGGGATCTCTGACGTCCACCTGAACAGGCAGACGGGCCCTCGTTTTAACGTCTCTTACGACAGTGCAACACCCCCACCCCCTCCCCCAGCACTGCATTGAAGCGTCAGCTTAGACGATGTGATTCCAGGCCCGAGGGCGTCGCCTCCGCTCGCGATGCTATGTGACCCCAGGAGCCCAGTGCCACTGCGGATCTAATGCCTTATGGGGTTTTGTTTGGCCGTGCAGAGAGACGGTGGGGAAGCAGGCGGTGAGCGTGGCGGTGACCCCCAACGGCTACGCGGACGCGGTGTACCAGAACCGCTTCCTCATGCCCGAGGAGCGGAGGATGGCGTTCGAGGACTTCCTGGACGTCATCGAGGGGAGGAAGGCGCGCGCTGGCGTGTTCTACATTCAGAAACAGTGCTCGAACCTGACCGACGAGTTCCCGCAGCTCCTGCCGGACCTGGACTCCCACATCCCGTGGATGAGTGAAGCTCTCGGTACAGTTTAGAAGAGAGTTTATAATAATCCCGGCAGTTGGTGTAGCGCCGTTTCACATGGGAAAGACGTCTCAAAGACGTGTCTAGGCTCAAAAGACGTCCCAAAGCACTGTGAAACGGAATGACTGTGTATTTGGTATATCTCCTGCGGTATATATATCCTGTAAAACGCTTTGAGACGTCTCAACGACCTGATAAGTTTGTAAGTTTGGCTTACGAACACACAGTTGCTACACTTGACAGCAGTTCCCTGTGAAGCACTGTGAGATGTTTTGATGTCATCAGTGCTTATGCTGCCTGAGCTTAGTGGTTACAGCAATCGCCTCGCAAGCGAGAGACCCAGGTTCGATTCCCACGCAGGGTGAAATGTTGGGCAAGTCTCCTTACTCCAAACACCTAATAGCAAATAGGAACCCAGTTGTTGGTCGATTGGCGGATCCCTTTTCTGGGGGTAATAATCCCTTCACAAAAACAAAATCGGTCACTTAATCCACGACTGTTTGTGGGACACTGTTGTGTTTTGCTCACAAAATATACAGTCGATTCACTTTACAGTATATTCTGTGAAGCGCTTTGAGACGTCTCGAAGATGTGATAAGGCGCTACATCAAATGCGAGGATTATTATTGTTCTCATCAAATGCAAGGATTATATTTGACAGTGAGTTGTCGTACAGACTGCAGAGGGCACTCCTGCACTGTTAATCCCCTCCGGTGTGAATTCATGACAAACATTGTGACCGGTGAATGCTGCTGATACCGTATAACACCCCCTCTCAGTATAACACTCTCTGTGTTGTTTCAGGGAAGAAGCCGGACGCAGTGAACTTCTGGCTGGGCGAGGCGGCTGCAGTCACTTCCTGTAAGTACCAGGGTCCTGCTCTCCCCTCATCCCCCCACCACCCCTCCAGCGACCCCCTGAGGAGGGTCCCAAAATATACAGTCAATTGACTTTACAATATATTGTGAAGCTTTGAGATGTCTCAACCATGTGCTAAGACACGATTTATCACATGCAAGGATTATTGTTGTTATACACTGGCTAATGGGTGCTGGAGAGCAAACAGTATTGGGTAACCCTCGGTATCTCACAAGTCTTTGTTGTGGTGTAAATGTGTTCACTCGAGTTGCCTCCTGTGCTGTTGTGACGTCTTGCTGACTGTTCTGACTCTTTTCTCAGTGCATAAAGACCACTATGAGAACCTGTATTGCGTGATCTCTGGAGAGAAGCACTTCCTTCTTCTCCCTCCCACGGACAGACCTTTCATCCCATACGGTAGGTGAGCGAATTCCTCAAGATCTCGTGGAGTCCTGTATCGTATTGGTTGGTGAGCTCGCCTCACAAGCGAGAGGACCAGGGTTTGATTCCCAGGTAGGGTGAAACCTTAGGCAAGTTTACCCAGCAGAAAGTAGAAACCCGGTTGTTAGTGGATTGGCAGATTGCTTTTCCGGGGGTAATTGGGAGGTTGGTAGATGAGGAATCCTGGACAGTAACATGTATCCAGGCACTCCTTGGGAAAATGGGTTGTTGGTCCCAATTCTTTGCTGCCCTTGAGATTGCTTTAACCTGGTGTGTCCCAGTACATGGTGTGTTTGTTGTGCCCAATGTTACATCGACTGAATGTGACCTGTACACACTAACTCTGTCCATGCAGAACTCTTCCAGCCAGCGACATACAAGGTTTATGAAGATGGTTCCTTCGATGTGATAGATGTCGAGAATGCAGACAAGGTAACAGAATTCAAACATATATCTAACCCGTGCTGTAGCTGACTTGGGAGTGCTGGACAGACAGTGTAGAGAGGGAGCTTTACTCTATCTATCTTGTGCCAAACCTGGCTAGTCGTTGGAAGTGCCAGGTAAGGAGGCAAGATTGGGTAATAAGTGTCAAATTATAAGGGAATCTTTTCTAATTTATGATCTCAAAGGTAAAGCAGCAGAGAATCAGCCCGAGTTAATGCCACATTGTCAGACACTTAGTTCAATGGAACAGTCAGTTCAAAGAAAAGCCTTTGGCAGCATTCATCGATGAGGGGCGGTTTGGCGCTTGGTCTAACTCCTGTTGAGGACTGAGCATCCATCTTCACTGAGCTGCGAATGCTCTTGTCACTGTTTCATTGCAGTAGCAGAGCACCACATCACAGCCAAGAAACAACACAAATTATATTTATATGGTGCCTTTCCCGTTGGGAGCAATTGTCTTAAAGCACTTTACACAGCTGGCCAAGCACACGAGCCAGCGAGGGGGGAGCTGAAGATGGTCGTGGGGTGGGGAGGAGAGGTTAGGATGAAGATGACCAAAAGTGCAGACGAGGTAAGTCTTGAGGTGGGCTGTGGGGTCCTGTTATAATGTGGAGGTTTAGTTCCCTAAAACCAGACCTTGTGTTACAATGGGAGCTATAAACATGGCTTTAAACATGCTCAGCACTGCGGGTCATCAGGTCACTGCTGATATCACTTCCAGTGCGTTGGCTGGACAGACACACAGTGAGCAGGAAGCAGGCAGCTCGTGCTCTCAGGTTTGTTTCTGGGTTGCGCCAGCGCAGGAATTGTCCCCGGCCTGTAACAGGCTCCAACTACGTCTTTCTGATATGTATATCTGAAATAACCGTGAAAATATTGATTGTGATCGGGTTAAATCACTGGCTTTAGATACCGTAGATAAGTTACAGCTTCTCTGTACCTCCCGACAGGTGCCTTGGATTCCCCTGGACCCTCTGGATCCCGACCTGAGCCGTTATCCTGAATACTCGTGTGCCCGGCCTGTGCAGTGCACAGTGAGGGCGGGCGAGATGCTCTACCTCCCCTCTCTGTGGTTCCATCACGTCCAACAGTCACACAGCTGCATCGCAGGTAGTCTTCCTTGTGCTCTGTTCGACAGCTTAAGAGTGGCCCAGCATGTCAGGAACAGCTGACTGCATACCACAACACGCTGGAGACAGGCCTCAACGTTATTATTAATGGAGATGATAATAATAATAATCCTTGCATTTAATATAGCGCCTTATCACGTCTTCGAGACATCTCAAAGCGCTTCACAGAATATACTGTAAAGTGGATTGACTGTGTATTTTGTGGGCGTATCAAGCTGCTCTTTCAATGAGTCCAGCATCCTGGTTTCTACCACCTTTCCTGGCAACCAGTCGTTAATTACCCTCAGGTCAAAGTAAACACTTCCTGGTGTCTGAATTGAAATTGCCTTTTACAACTCTAAACCCTTGCCGCATGTTCCACTGTCTTGTTGCATCCTGAAGCATTGATGTGGGCTTACTGTTTCAATTCTATTTAATATGTTGTACATGTGTTGAGATTCCCCCTCCCGCTGAGTTGTCTTCTCTCAGGACTGAAGAGCCACAACTCGTGTAATAGTTGCTTGTAGCTCATTCCTCTAACACTGGGATCTGCTTCATTAATTAGAAGAGACAATTTCAGGGATTGCTTAATGTATTGTAGTTGGGGTGGGGGTGGGGGGGCGCGGGAGAATGTCTGCCTCCTGCTAGTCAGTTATAGGATAGCAGTGGTCGCAAGTCCCTTGGTCTCTCGTAGCCAAGAAATAGCAGTTGTTGCTGGGCAGTTAGGAGAGCGAGAGAGAGAGAGAATGCAAAGTGAATGATTGAGGCCTGGAGGAGCTACTTCCCGTGAGCATTGTCAGTCCACATTTGCCGGCCTCTGATTTCTCATTTCTTTTTTGTTTCAGTCAATTTCTGGTACGACATGGAGTACGACATCAAGTACAATTACTTCCAGTTCCTGGACTCGGTCACTAAAGCAGCGAGTGGGGTATGAGGTGCTCACTGACTCCTGACCGTGTGGAGCCAGATGCGGGGTTTACCCAGCCAGTGGGAGACCCGAGTGCGATGTGCCCGAGGCGTGGCTCAGCGATCGGTCAGCGCAGCGGCACCCTCTGCCGAGGCACGTCTGCTCCTGACAGCGAGACACGAAGCACTCTTAACAGATTGGACATCTTCTTGCCCAAGCACTCACTGCCCAAGCTCTGTGTCACGAATTCACTGGACTGGGACGCTGCCCTGCTTGAGGGGCGCTGTATAAATGCAAGTTGTTGTTGTTGGGACGGCGAGGGCCGGGGAGGCACCATGCGTGCGTGGGTGCTTGTGTGCGTGTTTGCGAACGAGTGCTCGATGCAGCGGCTCAAATACAAAGTGAAAGCCCTGCTGCCTTTGCTCTCATTAATGCTTTGAACTCGTGCAGACCCAACTAAGTTGTTAGTCGATTGTTGGATCGCTTTCCCGGGGGTAATAATCCCTTCAAACAAATACAATGCATTTTTTTTTAAAAATCGTCGTTCAATCCACGACTGTTTGTGGGACACTGTTGTGCGCAATTAGCTGCCGAGTTTCGCCCACAAAACATACAGTCAATTCACTTTATAGTATATTCTGTGAATTGCTTTGAGATGTCTCAAAGTTTTATTACTACAGTAAAGCAGACAAATGGTGTATCATGCTGTAAGGGACTGGCAGATCTCTTGAGCTGGTCCTCTGCCTTGGGACTTCCTACCATCACGGAAAGTCCTATACAAATGCAATTTGTTGTTGTTGATCTGAGAGTGAGTGACCAATTTTTATTTGGAGGAATTGTTAGGCAGGACAGCGGGAGAGAGAAAAACTCCCTTCTCTTTTTTAATAGATTTGTGCATTCGGACTTGATTCAGTGTTGTATCTGCGGACAACATGAAACAAAGCTAGAGAAGAGGAACATTTCAGCCATAGCCCTGAGAAGTTACACTCCCTGCAAATGGGAGCGTTAATAATGTGTGGATTGACACTAATTTGGAATATGTCTTCTATATGAGTTTTTCATTCGGAAATGAAAAGTAGTAACAAGGTTGTTAGTCGACTGGCGGATCGCTATCTCGGCGTAGTAATCCCTTCAAAAATCAATAAATAATCATTTGGTCATTCAATCCACAAGCATTTGTGGGACACTGATGTGTGCAATTAGTTGCCACGTTTCGCCCACAAACTACATAGTCAATTCACTTTACAGTATATTCTGTGAAGTGCTTTGAGACGTCTCGAAGACATGATAAGGCGCTATATCAAATGCAAGGAGTATTATTTTACAGGACTCCATGGATATCCTTCAATTCCTTTGTGTTTCAGAGGTATATGTGGTTGCTTTTTGAACCCACATATACTAACTGTTTCGATAGCCTTCACTGGTACGTTACATTTGTTAAGTTAAAAGTTAAGAGGAAGAAAGGCGTCAGGTTAAAAGTTCTGTCTGATTTCCTCTCTTCCTCGATTCCCCGAAGCAGTGCCAAAACCAATCTCTCTGCCCCCACCGCCTGCTCTATTAGATGTTTCCTTTCTCAGCTATTCTTTCAAATGTGACAATCTAACCTGATTACTTAAGTGACATTAAAATAGTCACAAGCAAAGGCTGGGTGTTAAATAATAAATGATCCTGTCTTACAAAGATACACCATAAGGAGAATCCATCAAAATGTAATCATGCTATCTCATTGCTTACCGCTGGGGTGGAAAACCTCATGTAATAATCAGCCCTCTGTGACGGTCTTGTTAGTCCGGTTCCTGAGCCAAGTGGGTCCGTAGTATTTCAGAGCACTGGTGATGACAGCACAGCCAGTCTGGCTCATTGGCAGGACTTGGAGGGGCAGACCAGTCACTGGGGGCAGAGAATCCTCCCACTCCGCTCCTGTTAACCCTGCAAGCCAAAGGCCTAGTGAGTAGGAAGATCCTAACTGGATAAGCAGCAGAAAGCTTGTCGAAGAGTGCTCTCAATAGCAATCTGTGGTTTTAGCTGGTTAGACTCCAGCAGTTACCCCCAACACACACTCTGGGGTCTTCAAGTTTTGGCTCTTGCCAACCTCCGCCCAATACTCTCCGGAATTAGATAAGCAGGAATGCGCCCTCCAGGGAGAGTGTGCGTTCCAGTCCAATAAACATCTTTGGAAATTCCATATATAGGTGGAACGCATAGAACTGTCACCTGTGTTCAGATACCCAGCTAACCTAAATAAAACCAGTAATTGCTTAGTGGGTGGGGTGGAGGCAACACAATCGGATTGTATCAGCAGGTTCAAGAGGAAACTTGGTTGAAGAATCAATTGAAGAGGAAGTGAGTATTTGATTTACTTTGACCACCTGAGTCTTTTTGGTCCTGTACATTCTTACGTCAGTTGTCCGATCTCCGCTCGGTGGGCACTGGCCTGCTCCATGTCCCCTGCCCTGCCCACCCCACCATTAGTGGTCGGGCCTTCAACCTTTCTGCCCCCACCCTCTGGAACTCCATCCCCGAATCCCTCTGCCTCGCCCCTCCCTTGCCTCCTTCAAGGTCCATCTCGAGACCTCTTTGACCGACCACGCCTTCGGTCAAACTCCCATTTCTCCTACCCTCAACCCCTCTTCAATCCAACCCCCGGCTTGGGTTCAGCACCTTGGGACAACCTCCTGACCTGAAAAGCGCTGTGTAAATGAAATTTATTATTGTTTTTGTTTTAAGAATGTGGAATGACAGAGGTCAGAAATGCACAATTAATTGAGGTGCTGTGAGAGGGAGACAGATAGGTATGTAAGTAAAGAGGGTTGAAGGATGTGGAGATAGAGTGCGAATGCAATCAGAAAGATAAAGAGCTGTCATCAGCCAAAAAAGGGGTACAGCAGGCTTGATGGGCTGAAGGGACCCCTCCTGTTCCTATTTTTGCGTAAAACATGGACAATTGGATGGGTTGGAAATGGTGGAGGCAAAGGCACAAGCATAAGGCAAAGTACCTTCTGCCACCAATCTTTGTCTCTCTTCGATCGCTGGTTTGCTGTGACCGCCCTGTATCGTCCGTTATCTACCGTGGAAGTTTGCGGTCTGCCTTACATTACCGTGCAACTCCACAACACACCCGATACAGCACATTTAACCAGTGTAGTTGGCATGACATGGGAGAGAAACTGCAGACAGGATCAATATGCTAACAGGTTATTTATCCTAATGAAGCCAGTGTTGTGAAGTTGAGCATTTGGCGCAGAATGCAGGGCTGCTGGATTGAGAAAGGTGAACTCAAGGTGAGCCCATCTCGGGCGAGATACAGTGAGAGGTGTAGCTGTCACACAGTGACTCTTGGAAATCCATTACAGAGTTTTATAAATGACATCTGCTTTCTCAGGTTACTGTTCTTAATGGACTGGCTGCGTCAGGCAGCACTTTATATAGAGATCTGCTGAGAATTATTCACCAGAGACCAGCGCAAAGCTGTCAAACTGCTACAATGGCACACAGGACTTTGGGCATGAACCGATGTGCATTCATTACTGCCTGTCCCTCGTCACCTCCACTCCACCATCGGCGGCTGTGCTTTCAGCCACTACGCCCCGCAGCTTTGGCACTATCCCTCAATCCCTCCACCTTGCCCCCTCCTTCCCTCTTCCTTTTCGACCGTACTTACGGTCACCTTCTCTCTTCTCCTCCCCCCCCCGCCCCAGCTCGGCGTCAGGCTCCACCAGTGCTAAGTGGTTATATGCCCCACATGAAGGCCGCTATATAAATTCGAGTTGTTGTACTCCTAAGAAAGTGTACACATCAGAGGGAGGACAAGGTCAGCATAAAGCCTTCTCCACTTCTCCGAACTAAACATAACACGGCAGACAATTTGCACGCAGGAATATTCCCACAGACCAGCATGAAGTGAATGATCAATTTTATTTGGGGTGGATTGTTGGCCAGGACACTGGGAGAGAGAAATTCCTCTTCGAATAGTGCAATGGGATCTTTAACGTCCATCTAAACAGGCAGACAGGACCTTGGTTTAACATCTCATGCGAAGGAGGCACCTTTGACAATCAGCATACCCCCAGCAGGGGAGCGGAGGTGTCAGCGTAGACTATGAGCTCAAAGTCCCGATGTGGGGGGCTTGATCCCAAACCTTCTGATTTAGAAGTGAGAGACTGACACCTGGCCAAAAGATGGATACCTCGATGGGTGCATTAAGTCATACAGCACATGGATATTAGAGAAGAATATCTGATGGACTGGCAGAGAGAAGAGGTGAAAGACATGAGTAGAAAGCTGAAGCTGATTACCTTGGACATTCGGATAGATTCAGAGATAAAAAGGAGCAAACTGGTTGATAAAAAGGAAGGCCAATAATTGCAGGGAGGAAAAGACAGCATTATCGAGATGGACCTGTGGACTGAATTATTGTGTTACAATAAATAATAGTCTTTATTTAATATAGAGTCTTCCACGTCAGGAGGACGTCTCGTGTTGCTTCACAGGACTTGCTATAGAGAGTAGTGACTATTGGTTGGAAGTCCAATTTGTGCACAAAAATGTCCCACAAACAGCTACGAACAGCTATTTTATCTGGAGGATGTTGGTCAGGACACTGGAGAAACTCTCTACGCTTTTGACAGTGCCATGGGATCTTTAAAGTCTACAGACTCGGTGTGCGCAATTGGCTGCCGCGTTCGCCCACAAATATACAGTCAATTCACTTTACAGTGTGTTCTGTGAAGCGCTTTGGGACGTCCTCCCGACGTGAAAAGCGCTATATCAAATGCAAGGATTATTATTATTATTATTATTATTTGAAGGCACTGCATTAGAGTGTCAGCCTACACAAGGTCCCGACATGGGGCTTGAACCCAAAACTTTCCGACTCAGAGGCGAGAGTGCGACCAACTGAGCCAGGCCAACAAACCAAACAGAAAAAGGAGGTTGAAGGAAAATACAAGATAACAGATTTGACGCAGATAATTATCACATCAAACTGGCTCAAAGCTCTTCTCCCAGTGAGTTACTTTGAACTGTAGTGACAGCAGGAAACAGCAGCGACAGCCACACGTGAAGTGAACAAGATGAATGATCGATTTCAATCCGGTTAAGAATGATTGAGTAATGAAAATAGATCTGATAAGAGCTATTTTTAAATAAATAACTAGACAATGGATGAAAGGTAGTCACATCAATAGATAGAATACATGGGTGATTTATGCAAAGAGAATTACAGATGAACAGATCTATAGACGAGGAATGAAACGGATGGATATACAAGATAAAATAATGACAAAGACGTGAACAACGGCAGACGGGCAAACTGATAAAAGACAGAGTGGATAAAGTGGAATTATCACCACGACGGGTCAAACATCGTGGATAATTGCTATACAACTACATACTGTTTACCTACAGGAAGCAC